CCCTTCGGAAAGGGACGCGCCGAAGGACTGACCAAACGAGCCAGTCCTCCTGTGCAGCCCACGAATCACGAAGAACGACATTAGCGCCCTCCGTCGGTGCCGCCGCGCAACCGAGGACGCCCAGGCGCGTACATCTATCCCCGAAACTCCCCCCTGCTTTTGTCTCGGAGTATATTACGAATTAGAGGCTGGAATTTCACGAAACAACGAATCACGCGACCTTGGCTCGCTCGCTCGCTCGCTCGCTCGCTCGCTCCGATCGGTCAAGTTCCGATGTCCAATCTTCAACTTGCAATCTCTCATTCAACACACTTGGCCAGTAGGGGACTTTACATGTCTCGCCACCTTGCAGAGGCCGGGAACACCTCGACACGCTCGCAAAGTGGGAGAAAACAAGGGTAGATTTCTTACCCTTGGTCCTCCTAAAAATTTCTTCGCTCGTAAAATTATCCTTTACATTTTTCTTCGAAACACTAAAATATAATAGAAAATTTCAATTTATATTCGAGCTGCGTCAAAAAGTGATATCTCGGAACGACCAAGTGCCCCCCCTGCAATTATATTTCCTAAGCTTGCAGGTCGCTGAAGGAGCACGTACGTCGTCCTGGATCAACTGGATTATTCGTGTTACTTACGCAATACTTACACAAAGCACGCATTTTTGCCATTATCCACGCCGTACAATATAGCACAATATATACACAAATTTACACCAATTTTCCGCAGAGTTTCGCGCACAAAAGTTTATCCGCATTATCGCCGGCAGGAAACGAGAACCGAGAATTCTTCATGTCGAGAGTCTCATCGGCTAGTGAATAGGCGCAATTTTACATTGAATTTTGTTCTTTAATCGGAGAAGGGCATAAAGGACCACGGGAGCGCGAAATAAAACTTCACCGATACTTGACAACTATGAAAACAGTTGTGTTCTTGCACAAAAATCTCCGGTAATGTCCTCGTTCACCGTCCTCGCTGGCTCGTGTCTCAACAAAAACTTAACGTTAATACTTGGACGCAAATTGCCGAGCGCATTGTTTCATCGGTTCGTTTCCCGACCCGATCGTACAACAAACAACGTAAAAATCCAGCTTCCAGATTTCGTCGCAGGCAATACTCGCGGCGGCTCGAGCCGCACACAAAGTCGCGATACAAAGAGAGAAAGAGAGAGAGCGAGAGAGAGAGAGCGAGAGAGCGAGAGAGCGAGAGAGAGAGAGAGAGAGAGAGAGAGAGAGAGAGAGAAAGAGAGAGAGCGCGCGCGCGCGCAATAACGTCCTTGCACTTGTCCCGACGATTTCTCGTCGTATCGGACGACGATACGTCATATCTCAGGCACATAGCGTCATATAAATAATAAATCGCCATTTATAAAGGCCTTAAAGAAGAATCGACGGACGCACCGATGGCATGATTGTCCGTGTGCGCACAATGGACAATGGTGATTAGCGGTACGCAGGCGCGGGGATGTCGCGCTCTCACAACCCTTGATCGCGTGAATGCACTGCGGGGATGCGGCACCTATAAGCATCCCAGCCTATAAAGATCTCCGGCTGAGGCTTCGTCGCATAAATACGCGAGAAACATATTCGCGGAGAAATGAGAGCGGGTCCGAGAGGAGGCGATCGGGACCCAAAGCGGAAATGCGAGGCACCAGCTGGCAGCCGAATATGTCCACGTCGGAAATCGCGTGGCAAAGAATCACGCTGATTTGAAGAACCGACGAAGTCGCGTTTCTTCGCCCCGATCGTTCCAATTACTCGCTTCGATTATTCGACGGGCTCACGATGGGCGGAAAGGGAGAAGGTATCGACGCGAAAGAGTAAATCAACTCAAGCTGATAAAGTTCTATCTGCAGCTGAATGACGTTTCATATTGCGCGCGGTACAAGTGACGTTTACCTTGATGAAACGGTAAAAGTCAAGCGTGCGAGCGGGCGACGTGAGATACAAATCATTGTATTCCGCGGTCGAACGAAGAGAGAAAAATCAAAGAATCGAATAATAAAAAATGCGGACAAAATATACGCTATGCAGGGTTGTTTCCCGGCACCAGGAGAATGACGACGGCCCCATCTTTGTACAATCAGTTCACACTACTCGTCGAAACAGTTCGGAATTGAAAATTCTCCAAAGTGTTACCATCTCCTCCATGTACGGCGAGCGCGATCGTCGTCGCCGCTCATTAACGAGAGGCACCGAGAGGGGCGAGAACGAGTGTGAGCCGAGGGCGATTCCTTCGTTCGCAACCGCGCGAGCGAGATGCGGTAACGCGAAAGTGCAAGTACAGGTGTACAGAGAGTCGGCGGAGACGCGGAGGCAGCGCGCGCGATTCACGAGGATGCGAAGAGCGCGAGCGCGAATAATACGTGGGCGCGGAAGACGAAGATGGTGGAGGCGAGCGCGGCGAGAGAGAGGGCGAGAGAGAGAGATCGCGCTCGGGGCCGCGCCGAGAGAGCAACGGAGGAGAGTAGATTCGCGAATCGCGCGCGCGGTGTATAGGTTGGGTGGTAACCCAGTTTCGTCAGTGCACCAGGCCAAGCTGCAGCACCGCCGTGGAACCGATCGATACCTATATGCACCCGGCGCTGCCCACAGCCTAGATTCACTACCACTAGTCTAGGATAGAGGCGCGAGAAGGGGATCGCATGACCCGCGTGACCTACATCTCAGCGGGGAGAAGAACGACATGATAAAAAGTCACGTTGATCGTCTTGAATTCGCGTTGATCGTCTCGTCGGCTCGCGCGCGTCCTCGTCGTCATCAATGTCGTCCACGTTGTCGTCGTCGTCGTCGTCGTCGCTGTCGTACCGCTGCATTCAGAAAAGATTACGCGCTCTCTCCGCGTCGTCCTCGAATGAGCCAGAAGTCTTTCAAGTTTTATAGTTTTACGAACCCGGGTAAATAGCGAACAGCTTTTTCCTCTCACACTGAAAGGAAGACGTACGAGTGAAGAAAGATTGTAAAAATCGCGAGAAGAAAAATGTCGTAGAAAGTGAAACGAGGTGCGTTCTGATCGGATAAGGGTAAGATTATTCCGCAGACTCTTTCGAGACTCGAAAAGTCAATTGAAAGATAAGCATGATAAAAGAAAAAAAGAAAAAAAACACGACAACGCGAAGCAGTTAGAGGGAAAAGAGGATGAGAGGAAGACTGTAGACTATCACTTTGGACAACCTTCGATTTACCCGACTCTCCGAAGGTTTCGGCCAGACCAGACGCAAAGTTCAAAGTCCTCGTCCCGCCACGGGAGGACTCGTGCAAACTGACTGAGTCATAACGACGACGCTCGCTTCGGAGATACACGACTTCGTCACAAGACGACATTGTTGATAATGTTGCCGGTCTTATCGCGCCGACGGATATATATATATATATATATACAAAAGACAGCTGAAAATATCGAGGAAGATGGATAAACTCGCGGAAGTGAAAACCGTCGGAGAAAGAATTATACGAGCCGACCGAAGCGGCCGAAAGTTCAACGGACGAGAGAGAAAGACAGAGACAATATTATTCGTCGCGGACAGCCATAAAAATCCTTTTTCCAGAGGTCTTTGAGCCACCGAGCCGTTGACCTTGGGAAGGTAGCATGGAAACCTCGTGATGCCGTGCTGTAGTAGCACGATCTCTTCTCTTTCCCACTTTCGCTCCCTCTCTCGTTGCTGTGTGGGCGTTTGGTGGGTTAGCAGCCGGAGAAAGGTGGGGGGCGAGGATGAACGACAACGGCGGCGGCGGCGGCGGCGGCGGCGGCGGCGGCGGCGGCGGCGGCGGCGGCAGCGGCGGCGGCGGCGGCGGCGGCGGCGGAGGAGAAGGAAGAGGAGGACAAGCAGGAGGGTATCCCGCGCCGACAAACGTCTGGATGGAGACGGAGAGTCTACGCGAAGGGAGGGTCGATATTTACCGGCCTGCTGCCTCCGCCCCCTTGCCGCGCACGGCCAACGACCCTGCCCACCCTCGCGTACGTACGTACACTCGTTGCGGACGTTCGTAGGCCTCTCCCTCCCACCCTCTTTCGCCACCCTCGCCACCGCCGACGACGCGCAACTCACGCGCGCGTTACTGCACCCTGTAACCCTGAAACGACTCCGAGCGCTCAACTGCCGATAACAACCCCGTGGTCTTTATGAGTCAATCGCCTAATATAACCGCGACGACGTGGATACGTGGGGTAAGATGTGACTTTTCTTCAGCTTATTTTTTCCGTCGATGCCGAGAATACGATATACGGTTAATGTTGTCTAACGTTGTCTTCGTGTTAAGGTAAGAGTGGCTATTAAGGGTGGCTCGTCGACGACTACCCGAGATGATCGGTAGCTGCTGGCTCTTCGTAGGGTCTCGCGGGAATCGAGATATTTGACAGGAAAATGCGCGAGGACCTCGCGCGCCTCACGTCGCGCGAGATAAGAAACTATATAGCCTGCCGTTCCCCGGAAACTCCGTCGGTAAGCGCGACTCGCGCGAGTCGCTCCGAGAAGCGGATGCACGGGGTTGCCTCGTGGTCTTCATTTTCACGACGGATCCTCGGAGCCTCGGACTAGATTGAAGTGAAATCTTTGCTTAACGAGGGAACATCGAGATGCGCGCGCGGCTACCGGCTTGCGTTCCATTTCGCGGGAGAGTTCGAACCTGACAATTGCCGATTAATCAGCACGTAACTGTGCGAGGAATTTAAATCCGATTTATCATAGCGACACCGCGGGGAGCTCTCTAGGTTAAGGAACAACGCTCTCTCGCTCTCTCGCAACGGTATATCCGCGCGCGCGAGTACGACTACGTCGTCGACTCGCGCGTGATGCGTGATGTCAGCGATGATCGCGACGCGCGCGTCTACGCGGAACGAAGCCGGAACGGAAGTAGCGAGCCTATTTGCCGATCTGATAACATCCGCCCGCCCGCCCGCCTCTCCGGCGGGGGGCGCGCGTGGTCGTCGACCACGTGGTGGGTCGCGACAATATATTGCGTCCGACACGAAGATGCATCGCGGGATGCGCTCGCGCTCGTTTATTACTGCTTTCTTATCGCAGCGTCGACGTTAACGACGTTAACGGCGTTGTCGAAGACCGAGCGCGAGCGAGCTGAATAAGACCGCGCGTTTATACCTAACAGTATCCACGTTACACCTGACGAAAGCATACTTCAAATTCCACCGATAATCGCGGTGGAAATTTTCTCCCGGAAATGGAGACATTTCACACACGCGAAATTGTCCGACTTTGTGATTCTCTACAGCTTTGATCACAGCCGCGGCTTCTTTTTGGCAGAAATGAAAGAGTGCTGTTATACTTATAAAATAGAATTCCATGTCAATGTAAAATTACTGCTTATTTCTCCCAAAGAAATTAGAATTTTAATTCAAAGCGATGTACTTCATAATTTCTCTTTGTGATCAAAATATTAAATCGCCCGAATGGAAATTTCAGCATGGGTTAATGACGACACGACAGCGGTCGCCCACGCTAAACAGAATGTGCTGAAAAATACTTGTTCACGTTCAAAATAGAGATATATAATACACAAGAGGAATAGGAAATTTTCACAGTGTATATTCATTAAAGTTCAAAGTATAAAATAAATTTGTTACTATTTACAGAGTGTCCCATTTTAACTTTCGCATTAAAAAATCTCGAAAACTATGAAAGATATTAGAAATACTATATTATAGTGCCCTAACTTTTATTAATTTAATAATTTTTGAATTTCCAAAGGTCGGTAAATTAACAAAAGTTAGAACACTATTATAGTAATATATTCTTGATAGTAAATAAAGTGAAAAAGTCTAATACTATTTTTTCTTTCGACGAATGGTTAGCGAGATATCGTAAGTTAAATGTTGAAAAAGTTACCAAGTTTTCCTTAAATATGTCAAAAAATATTTGGCAAATAAGAAATGCTTCAGACAAAAGTTATTAAAATTAATTGGTAGAAAAGGAAGATATAATAAAAAATTGGGCTTTCTATTTAAAAAAATTAAGTTGACCTTCAACTGACCTTGAAAATGTCCTCCAAATAAAAAACTGATAATGCCATTCTCTTTCCTCATCGAAATCATGGAAAACGTGTTTTAGCTTGTTTCTAATATCTTTCATAGTTTTCGAGATTTTTTAATGCGAAAGTTAAAATGGAACACTCTGTATATGGAAAGTACACATGAAACTTTAACCCTTGTGGCACGTATTTTTCAGAAAATCCGAATCACATGAAAATTTATATACGGGGGTTTCTGGGGTCGCTGATGACGAATCCGTTATCAGATTTTCGAAATTCAAGATGGCGCGGATCCAAAATGGCGGATGCAAAAATGAAAAGTCGTGATAATTTCGGTGACAATGGGTATTGTGGGGTTTTTGGAGTCGCTGATTACGAATCCGTTATCAGATTTTCAAAATTCAAGATGGCGGTCGCAAATATGAAAAATCGCGATAATTTCGGTGACAATGAGTTTTGGACCTCGGATTCGTAATCAGCGACCTTGAAAGCTAACCAAAGTACAATTTCAGCTAATCATAAAAAAATTTTATAATCCGCTACCTTGGAAAATTAATTTTGGAATTTGGATCTCAGATTCGTAATCAGCGAACCAAAAACTCCCAAATCTTGATTTTGAGTAAAAAATTCACTCATAGTTCGTGGAAAATGATTTTTTTCTGTAAAAATGTATATTTTTCACACTTTGTTTATTTATAATAAATAGACAACTCATGCAAAACACTTTTCAACCTTTCACGTATGTTCCCATATCATATAGGAAGCTAAAAAATGCAAAAAACCCGACAAGAATCCCACAAATATGAAATATTTCATGAAAATGCGAGAATAAATAGATGGTAAGTATACTTACCACTATGCCTCAAAGAGTTAAATGCGTTTATCTGGAAACACCATGTTCTTAAACTGTCGACACGATTATGCAAAAACTACTGAACCGAATAATTAAAATTTTTACACAATATACAGAGATTAGACATGTAGTTTTCCATCCCTATCTCGAACACAGTTATATTTTATTTTATTCATTTTTTTTAAACATGATTACAAGTCGAAAAAAAAGTATCATTTTCGATACCTTTTCTTTGTACAGTCATTATCTTTTCAAACTTTACTTCACTGCCTTCATTTTGATACAGGCTACAATAACAACCGTATATTTTAAAAATCTTTCTCATTTTTTGGTTTCAGAGTAGTAAAAGGCCCGGAATTATGTCGATAGCAAACATAGAGCTCGCAAACGGATGACTTTTTTTCTACATTTTTATCTGCAATTACAAATTGGATCAGAGTTCTTGTAATTCAATAAAATTCATTTTATACTTTGAACATTCATGAATACACTGTGAAAATTTCAAGTCCATTGATTTTACTATTTCTGTTAAAAAAATTCCTAAAAATAGCTTGAAAAACGGCCTTCCACATATAATTCTCACCCCCCCCTTAATTATTCACTACCTTCCTTCGGTCCAGAAATATCTGAATTTAGAAGCGTAAAAAAAAAAAAACAGCCGACATTGATGGAAAGGCGTCATACTGACACCTTCCGTAATTGCTGCTCGATAGCCGCTTTGGAACGCGGCCCTGACCTGACCTGATGATCTGACCCGATCTGACAGACGTAGAAGCGTCGCCGCGCCCTGCTGACCACGTGCACGCCTCGAGTGGCCACACGCACAATGACGCACACACCGTAACTTCGCAGCATATCGGCGTGCGTGAGATGCCTAATCGTAATATTCGAGAGAAAGTAGCCCCGAGACTCCGCGGGAGTAAAATAAAACCGCTTTCCAGACCGATCGGTCCGATTGTGAAAATCGGCGGCGGGAGCCGTCACCAGCCGCGTCGCGCCATTTTCGTTCCCGTCGTCAAATGCTACGGGTGAATGATACGCGCGAGCGCGATATATACGCGGGATTTGAATCAATATTTCTCATTCGTCGTTTTACGCCTCTCGCAGCTCCGACGAGACCGCTCGAGCAGTCGCTTCTTGATTTGTTGATCGCATTCTTCGACCTTCTCGCCGCGCAAACGTCCGAGATTCGTCGAGTTAACTGAAATTCCGTGAACGCTCGAATTCCCGAGCGAATCGGTTAATTTCGAGAGACTCATGAGTTTTCGCGGAATTGCTCATCGTATAAACATGCACGTAAGATAACGACGATTATAAAGCGCGAGGCGCGAGGCGCTAGTCGCCAGCGGGATTTAACGTCGCCGACGTAATAACTCGCGTAGATACCGGCAAAATTGAAAAATTATCCAGTCGCGCGTTATAAAAGTGCGCTTTCTACCAGGAACTGTTTAGAAGCTGGTTCACCGGAATGGCTGGTGTGCCAGCTCGCACACGTGCTAAATGTCACAATGTTAGAACGTGCAACTCTTAACCGCGCGCACGCAGCAGTCGCGGCGCGTTGTCGGCCCGGTGCGAAATTATTTTATATACTAAATATTCTCTACGGGCTACGGGAGGAAGGGGGGGGGGAGAGAAAGAGAGAGACTCGCTCTTCTCATCGCTCTTTATCGTTAAATGTTAGGCGAAACCGAATGCGAATGCGTGAATCGGGACGTAAATTTCGAAACGAATTTCTTTCGGGAGGATAAAGTTAATCGCGAGTATAATGTAACTTTCTCGTCGCGAATTTTTCAGCCTGCTCCTGTCCTCGTTTGCCCCGTCGCCGCCGCCTTTCCCCCATCTTTTCTCCCTCGTGAATTTATCGTCCCGGTAGAAATTTATCAAATTTATGCGCTAACATCCGCGTTCGACTGTTATCGGTCTCTCCAGTCACTAAAAATATTTTATTGCGCGCAACTAAATGTTCAACTTGACGCCTTGACACGGCCTTTCGTGCCGTGTTGTCGACTGTCGCAAGTCTCACAGAGAGTTTTAAATTAAATTACAACCAGTGCTTATAGAATTCTCATTTGTTCCGAACACATGAAATTTTACCCGTGAAAATCTAGAGAGAGCGTGTGGTAAATTCTCCGAAAGAAAAGAGAAAGAAGAGAGAAAAAAAAAACCGTAAAGATGCACGTGCGGAAACAAATAACCCCCCGTAATACGGATTAATGGTGTCAGCTACAGCTACAGCTACAGCTTGGTATCTCATAAATTACTCGCAAGTATAAAAATATCCGGTTCATACCGACGGCACTAGGTGTGCCGATCTGTGTCGGCTATCGCGCAAGTAACAAACAAAAAAAAAAATTGCTGCAATGGTAAAAAAACGCACGCTGTATTAGCTGTATTAGCCTCGATAGATGGCACAACGTGCAAAAAGCAGCGAGAGCTCGAGGATGACAACGAACGATGCATGTAATCGAATAATTCGGCAATAATCCGAGAGCCGTGTGTGCGCGTAGTGCAAGCGTAAAACAGTCATCAGCCGGTCAGAGAGAGAAGAGAGCGAACAGGGAGGGGGAAAACGCGCGAGGCGAGTGAAGTACGGTTAGTTTCTCCCCGGATGTTCGGTGGCCTCTTTCTCGAGCGAGCGGCCTTGCCAGGAATGCGCATTTTCTGCCGGTTCGCCGTCTCCTCCGGCTTCGATTCGAATCTATATGCGCGCGGACTTGCAGCGGCGACCACCTTTCACCCATCGCGTCGTTCCAGGGGGAGAGGGGGGGAGAGAGAGAGAGAGACGGAGACGATCCTCATTATTCGCGACGTACGAGTAAGTAACTCACAGAGCCGATCGCGTTACGTCACCGGCCGCCGTCGCTTCGCGCGACATCAGCCATGAGAAATAAATTACAGCGCGCCGAAGGCGCGCGAATGCGTCATTTGCAACATTGTCTCGGGCAAAAAGCTCCTTTTGACGATACTTTCAGAGTCGTATGGAGGTCTTAACGGGTGGCGAAGGTCTTGCGGATGAGTGACGCATCACAATGTTAAACAATACGACACTCGCGAGCGTTAGTCGGACGAGACAGTGGCTTATCAGCGTGTGTTCTCCCCGTCGGGATTATTCGGAGTGTCTTCCGATATATTTTCGGATGTCGCGTGTCTCCCCGAAGGAAAGTAGAATTACGACACTAGCGTTACGGCAATTACATAACGTCGCGTAAACGGATAATAACACGGTGGGATTTGTACCTGCGTAAACTCGTTTAGCCGGTAGGACGGACAACAAGCCGGCTCCACCTACCCGAGGCGGCCGAGTTCTTCTAGCGCTATTGTTATCCGCTAACGTTTCCGTTATAATACCATCACCGTTAAGCGCGTTACAGCGTAAACGGCTGTTTAACGTGCATGCGTGACATTGTTTCTACAAACGAACACACACACACACACACACACACATACATGTATGCACAGGCACGGGCCGCAGGCTAGAAATTTTAGAGAAAAAGAAAAGTGCCATGTGGCAACGGTTTGACCTTTTTTTCTTTTTCACCCTAAAAATATGAAACATGAAAGTTTGCTTTCGAATAAAGAATAATTATCGCACAATGCCGAGAAACGTATCTACCTCCGTTGTTTCTCAATTATACACATGTCCCATGTGTTGGAAATCTGAATACTCGTCTGAATTCAAGGACCAAAGTAATCAAAATCTTCAGAGCTAGGTACATGGCCTGGCATTGATCCTTTTGCCTCGGGCAAACAATAAGTTTTGTTCGAATAATACAGAGCCGCTTGAGGCTATTCTCAAGCTCTATTGCTGCTTTCTATAGAATATAAACTCAAAAAGAACGTAAAAACTGGCAGCAAATAGGTTGCAGTTCATTTCTTTCGAAAAGAGAAAAATGAACTTGGGAACATACGAAAATATCGACACAGAATGGTCGGACGACTTTCATCTATTTCCTATTAAATTTATTCTATTGAATTATCCTATTAAATTTATTGAGTTTATAAAAGTTGCGATTCTTTTAGCTTATGTAACGAATCGACACGAGTTTTAATCGGCGAGGCGTGCTAAGCTATGTCGAGAAAAATTCGTGTCAGTATCTGCGTCATCAAAGATCAACTGGAAAAATTTTATAGCGGCGTAGTGGTGTTAACAAAAGAAAAAGGTTGATTGAAAGGAAGAAGTTAAAGAATTTATGAATGTGCAATGATTGTGCGAAAATAAAAATAGAAATATCTAGTCGGTGTTTTGAATGAAAGGACATTTTGTTGGCATAAATCAAATAAAAATTTCTATGTATGACAGATTATAACGGATCGATCTGGAAACTAGCGATTTGTGTGCTTGCCGATTTCTCTCTCTCTCTCTCTCTCTCTCTCTCTCTCTCTCTCTCTCTCTCTCTCTCTTTCATTTTTATTCTATTCTTTTTGAACGTTTTAGTGGAGTTGTTTGATATTTGAGAGACTCTTTTGACTTTATCAGTCTAGGATATATCTCTGATGTTCCAATATATTTTTAGTTATACATATGTATATTATAAATATTAAATATTAATTTACAATATGAAGGACCAACTGTATCGCCTCTTGCTATCCACTCAAGGTGTAAAATTTTGTATTTTGTATCAATTAATTTTTGGACGCTTGAGAGAGAGAGAGAGAGAGAGAGAGAGAGAGAGAGAGAGAGAGAGCGAGAGAGAGGACATATGTCCCAAGGCATACAAATAAATGATGCTTTCCTTTTTCCTTTCCTCTGATATTCCAATATATTTTTAGTTATACATATATATATTATAAACATTAAATGTGTTAATTTACAATATGAAGGACCAATTATATCGCCTCCTGCCATCCAGTCAAGGTGTAAAATTTTGCATTTTGTATCAATTAATTTTTGGACGCTTGAGAGAGAGGACATATCCCAAGGCATATGTTCAAAGACAATAAAAAATAACGCTTTGCTCTTTTTCTCTCTCTTTCTCCCTCTCTGTTGGATCTATCCTGATTAGAAACCGGCGCGAGCACACAATGTGAGCACAGCACACAGTTTAATCTCAAACCGTAAAACTACAGGCTTAGACGCTGCCGTGCTCGCGGTTTGATTGGCTGTCGCACGCGTTATGCAATTCCATCCGCGATGCCCTTTACAATGAGTTCGTTACTCAACGAGACGTGACTCGATGAGACCTTGACGATCTCGGTAGACGACGCTTCGCCCAGCGCGTGCACGAGTCGTCGTCGTTTCTTCCGTGCGAAAACAACGTATACGTGTTTTCAGAGAATGCCCGCGCCTTGTCGCGAACTCTCATTATCCTATCGATCAAAGCTGTAAGATATTAACTTCTTATCAGCGACACGATGCGAGGAAAAAATAGGAGATAAGCCGTCGAGTACGCGAATATATTGGCAAGCATCGACCCGGTTTCCCGTGTATCTTGGCATTCTCGCGTTATTTTCATCCCCGAGAGAACCATTTCAGGTATTTAATCGCGCAGTTATTTCTGCTCGACGAATTGCGAACTCCGCGCCGCGAATTCGCCAATCATTACAGCCGAACGTTACGCGGGCGGGAATGTTGACGCCGTCGAACAAAGAAATTCCAAACAAATTAACAAATTAATTAAATGTTTATTTAATTGAACGAAAAGGTACATTCCGAGAGAGAGACGGCGTGTTTACACGTCCGCGTGAAGTTTCGAAAGTAACGGACTCCCTTCGACAAGCCAAGCGCGACGAGGATGACGATGCGAGACACGTGTTTATCGCCGTCTGTGTCGTGAGAGGAACGTGTCTCGGCTTGAAATATTGGCCATTTAGAAAATATCGGACAGGTCGACGGCGGTGACGGCGAAGTCGGCAGCGGCGAGCGGGGCCACACGTCACGTGGCGGCGCGACGGCCAGTCGTTACCTGGCGGAGCGACGAGGACGCCATGCGCGTGCGACGTGACGCGACATCTTCCGAAAGCACCGGCAAACGTCAAATCGCATAATAATTCTCGTCGACTAATGATGCATCGATAATACGCGTGGCGAACATCTCGAGTTCCGAGACGCTGGACGCGAATGACCAACGACCCTTGTCACGCGCGCAAGATATGAAATATGCCGTCTGTCTGCAGGATGAATGCGAAAAAGTGAACGAAGGGAAAAGGAGAGAGGGAGAGAGAGGGAGAGAACAAGCAATCGTCGCGTGGCACCTCGCGATCATGACGCGTAATAAAAGGGAGAAAATTGCCGTTGCGCATCGTGTCGAAAACGTCAATATCGACACGGAGTGCGCGATTACGCACTGATAGACTTACCTACCACCGTAGACATTTCCGCCGTATTCGCTGTTCGACGCGTCGACGTCGTCGCCGTCGCCGTCGCCGTCGTTGTCTCGTGCTGACTCGGTGCTGACCGTTAACGACGATAATGCGTGGCCGTGATGATCGGACGCATCTTTTTCTTTCTTTTTTACCGGCGTAACTGTCTATCGTCAGCGGTACCGTCCAGCCCCGCGTCGGCACGCGGCGACATACGTGATCGCATGAGCCGTGCTTTGCGCTCGTGCGTAACGGATGTGTATCGATATATACGCGCGTCTCTCTCTCTCTCGTGGCGGGGCCACGCGCGATCTCACGAGCGTGCGAAGAGGAGCGTCGTAGCGCGCGCGTTGACTTCCCGACGTATGGACGTTAATGGAGGGTGGCCCTCCACGTATCGTGCCACGCGAAAAGAACGCTTCGCGGAAATTATATAACCTCCACGTAGAACGAAACGGAGCGGCGCGGCGTGGCGCGGCAAGACGATCTTTTTCTCTCTCTCTCTCTTCTCTCTCTCTCTCTCTCTCTCTCTCTCTCTCGTCGCGTTCCCGAAAGGCGACGCTTTCAGGCGAGTTAGTAGCGGCCAGAGACGGAAGCAAGCGCGGGACCGACCGGCGCTGTGCTTAGCGTCGTCGCTCTCGTGCCGAGGGTGCCAAAAAAATACACCACCGACGTCCGGGCTCCTTTGACAACGCGCGTACAAGACGAACACGAGCGAAGACAGAACGTTAAGGAAGTCTCTCTCTCTCTCTCTGTTATTTTGCTTCTTTGCGATGCACTCGCGGACGAGACACTCGCTACGGGAAACGTGGCACGCGTTGCTTCACCACCATATGGTCCCGTAGCAGGCACGACGCGAAGGTGGTTCGCGCGGATTACGAGAGACCGATGTCGAGGTGAACGAGCGTGTCCCTGAGAGAGAGGGACCTCTCGTCGTGATAGTCGGTACCAGTTGAGCGAACGTCAGCGCGAAAAGCTCGCGGGATACCACCACCAAGTAGTAGTAGCCAGCAGCCGGGGACAACGGCTTGTGACGGGTTGACACACACACACTGTGTCAGTATATACCGGGCGATTCTCCTCGGTGGTTGGACTCGCGACAATCGCGAAATTATTCGCGATCCACGGTTCGCGGTTTCACCAGGTTTCGCCGAGCGATCCGCGAGAGAAACGGCCGAACCCCCCGCGCGCGGCTGATTGCCACATGTACCAGCCGAAGTAGCCGCTCGGCCGGCTTCGTGAGACTTCGGTATCGCTTAGCCGCGTCTTTCTCGTGTCCTATTCTTCTCTCTCTTTCTCTCCCCCGCCGTGTCTGCACCTTATCGCTAATTTATTATTGTCTATGTTTGCTATGGGTGCGTGTGAAGGAAAAAAACGGTCCCGCGGAACTTTTCGAACGGTACCGCGCGTACGCGTGCCGCTTTGTTCGTCGTCGTTGTTATGCTTGGTTTTTGTGCGTGCGTCGCTTCTGTCACATTGTCGTCGGGGAACAATTCGACTCGAGTTGCAAGAGTGTGCAGTCGTAATTTTATCGAGTACGACTCGCGCATGCGTCGTGTCGCTCTCGCGCACGACCTCCGATCGTCCACGAAACTTCCGAGCCGGGTAAAAGTCATTAATTGATCAATTAGCCTCTCTCTCGACGCGTGCACATCGCGGCACACCCTTTCGCACGGTCTACATATTCCGCACTCCCCGTTTCCCGGGACTACCCGGGCTACCGGCAAGTGGTCGTGTCGCTCGCAGTCCTCGAGGAGACGGCCGCGCGACGCTACGTCGCGATTCACACGCAGGAAGCTCTCTTTCTACCTCCCACCTTCGCTTTTAATAGCTACGATTCAACAGTTTGCCGCACGTCGTGTCGGCCAATCGTGGTCACCTCTCCTCTCCTCTCCTCGTCCTCCTCTTTGCGCACGTTTATTATCCGTCCGTTTACCGCTCGTTTTGCGCGGTGAAAAGTCGCGTGTCCTTGTTTTGTCTCGCGAGAGCCTCCGGATGAAAAAGGGGAAGAAAACAAGATGGAAGATTCTTGGTGGTGTAGGTGTGTATGTGTGTGTGTATACGTACGTATATATATGTATGTTGCTATAATATGAATAACCGTATATTTTGCAAGTCCTGAGAGAGAGAGAGAGAGAGAGAGAGAGAGAGAGAGAGAGAATAGAAAAGGAGAAAACAAGACGGTCAACTACGTCGTTAACGCGAGGAATGACCGAACGAATGACAAGTACGCGAGCATCGATCGTCTCGATAAATATAATAGACATGCCAGAGGTTCATGAGCGGCGAATGCCCGATATTGCATATTAAGCGTAGAGAACTCAGACGAAAGTGAAAGCATACATCCAGCCGAATGTTCAGTCGAATCTTCGGTAACGCTATTTAACTCGCCACGTCGCTCACCTCATGTCCTCTGAAATCGACGTAACATGCTCCGCGTCTTTCCAGCGTGTATATGTGTGTGTGTGTGTGACAACACATTTCTTATACATATATATAAGCGTGTATGGACGTATGTATACGTGATGTTTTAAGAAAATAAAGTTCCTCTATTTACTCGTTTATCCGGAACGAACGAAATAAATGCTCGGATCTTCCAACGCGCACTCGATCGATATCCTGATGAATATTTCATCCTCGATCTTTTTCGATCCCGAGCAATATGTGCGTCTGGAGGGGGGAAGGTGTACTACTAAAAGGTGCATCTGTACTACTGATTATTTATATGATATTCAATTCATGGAGAGGCAGATATTAATAAATAAAGGTACGTAAGTAGATAAAGACAAAATGAGGGAGAGGAGGGGAAGGAGTTCTCTGGCCTAAGGATAATTTATAGCAACTATGAGAGACCGACGTTCTTTAACGAGATTACGGAAGCCACGAAATGAGCATTGCCGTCGTTCTACTTGCACGGCCGACTTGTCGAACTTGGTATAGCCAGGTGTCGGAGACACCAGGAGATACAGTTTCTCTTTCGCGGCTAGTTACGTAGTCGCGAATCGGCAAGGAGGAAGCGAACGAGGAAGTAGCGAATTGTTGCGGTACGAAAATGCGAAGGTGTATTTACGATTGCGGTACGCACACGGCGTGCACGGGATGGGATATTTTCATCACGGTCTCAGATTTCCAAGATCGTATGGCGCGTCGACGTGTGTTCGAGTAAACAATCGAGCGGCCGAAGGTTGTCGGAGAGCGCGCGGACGTCGAAGAGAAGAGAAGAGAAGAGAAGAGAAGAAGAGAGGAGAGAGAGAGAGAGAGAGAAAAGAGAAAAATGAGAGAAAGAGAGAAACACACGACAGTACAAGCGACAGCGAGGAAGGACGTCGTCGTTTCCCCGTTCTCTCTCGCGGCACACACAGCCACATGGCGCGGCGGTCATCCTAACCTCAAATAACACTTTTCCTCCAGAGTGCACGCGCATCGGATATACATACATCGCACGATGATAACTCGCCGAGAGGACCGCGTTACGAATGGGTACGCACACGTCACGCACGTACACACTCGTATGGTCCTCGAGAGAAGTGACATGTTCCCACATAGCAATGGTCAAGCCCCATTAGATTAATCCCGCGGCACCGACACGTCACGTGTCTCGACGGTGTAAAATCCTGCAGGCGGTCGAAAGACTTGCACGAGAGTCGAAAGTGTCGAGAGAGGAATGCGCGCTGCGCACGAGAGAAACCTCCCGACTCTTTCCGCTCTTGTCGGATTGATCGGATGAACTTAAGAGGAGACATTACTCACCGGCATTCGGGAGGAATCTAGGCGTGTTCGTCGTTACCACCGCACTGTAAGTCTGAGGGGGATGCGGCACGACGGGCTGGTTGACGTTGAGGATCAATTGGTGCTGATGTTGCGACGGATTATGATGGCCCTGCTGCTGGTGTTGCTGCTGCTGCGAATGATGTTGCTGGTGATGATGGGACAGATGGTGGTGCTTCCCTTTCGTCGGCATGCTCATCGCCGGCATGAACCTCCCTTCTGCGAGCTGGCTTGCTTCGAAGCTTGCTGCCTTATGCGGCTCGACGAGGGCCTCATAGGTACGTTATTTTCCTCACGTGTTCACGGTGCCCCACGATAGTTAATGCACTATCGTCTGATAGCCGTATCCGCGGTGCGCGTGAGGAAAGGAATTCAACGTACGTCCGACGAAAATCAGCGCGCGCTCGAGATCGGTGGTCCTCAGCGCCGTGTCGTGTCGTGTCGTATCGCCGGCCTCACCAAATCCGTGGAGCCGCGATATTTGTACAGACAATCGGGGCAGGGTATTCCTTCTTCGGTGCGTCTCGCACGGGCTTGATCGTTGGCACGCAACGCCTGTGTACGTCGTACGTATGTGTGCGCGCGAGCGCGCACTCACTCGCAAAGATTCATACGTATACACACGAGGAGGTTACGCGCGATTTCCTCGCGATGCGCCTTATGGTATGCGGAATTCCTCGTGACACACACGCGCAAACACACACACACACATACACACGTACACACACACCTCCGGAACACGTCGCTGCCGCTTTTTTTATTATGTCCGCTTGTCTGTCGGCGATCGTATCACGCGTCTTCGCTTCTCGCTCTCGAGGATCCGCGTGCTGTTACACGTAGACCGTTCCCTCTGGTCGTCGTCGTTGCCGTTGTTGTTCTTGTTCTTGTTGTTCTTGTCCCGTCGAACGCGCCTTGCGCGGCTCGATGATGAGGATGGCTCGCGTTCTTCGCGGCGTGGAAGAAAGGAGCGAGAAAAAGCGGCTACCGCGTGCGCGATGTGAACACGCACGTCCAGCGACGAATACGGAGCACGTCGTCTTCGTCGTCGTCGTGATTCGCTCGCACTAACGAACGCTCGTATACGTACGTTTCGCACGTATACGCAAGCACGCACGTTTCGCCACCACGTTCTACCACGGCCGCTCGGTATGAGTCGCGCGACAACGACGTAGGGTTACGACGCGAAAATCTCGGCCGTCTAGCTGCAACGCGCTATCGCGTATTCGAGAGAGCGTATGCGTTCGCGCTCGCTTTTACCGTATCGTTATTCGCGATACCTGTGAGTAGAGAAATTCCAGGATGCGTGCCCGTCGTCGATAGGTATGTACGTCTACTAGAATATCCGCTGGTCCTAGCGTATTTACGGCACGAATATTCCGCGACGCGGGGTGCTACGGTCGCAACGCAAAGAGGACGGAACGCGCGCGACCAATCGCGCGACGAATACAATTTCGATTAACGCGACATCTCGATATTGTGTCTGTGTAACGCAAGACGGTGCACGTACCCGGTGCGGTAGTGTTCCTATCGTGCAATTTTATTTAAACCGAAATAAGCATTTTTCTTTTTTTCATGTAATCTTCTCGTCGAGAGATTATATTTTGAAAAAAAAAAAAAAAGAAAGAAAAACAGACCGTCGACACTTGTATCTTCTCTTTGCATCTTTATCGTATGAGAAACTTTATACGCGATCGTTGTCGAAGATGTAGTGAATATGATCGGTTGGCAGTACGTTGCTTATGGCTGCATCGCAAAGAGACACTTGGGTCAAATTGACCAATCGTAATCGTGAATTTCAAAATGGCAAGTCTCACGTTTATAGTGTTTTTTTTGTTTGTGTGCGACATTTCGTCAACGGTATCTCTCTGGCATAACCTTGGTACGTTTTCCTTCCTCGTCTGTATAAAGTATATTTTTTCTCTTTCCGAGCTCATTTTACAGTCTCATCGTACGAAAATGAGTTCTCATGGAAAAGCAGAGACTGATAGACTGAGGAAGAATTTGGAGGAACAATTAGATCGACTTGTGCAACAACTGGAAGATCTGGAAGATAGCAGGTGCTGTTTCAAAATATAGTCACTACTTTATTGTTCCGTCCTCTTTAGAGATGTAAATCTATTTGGGGCGAGTTCTCAAATTTCCCATTTCTACATGTATTCTGTAATATGGATATTGATTGTACAATTTTATCTTAACAGAATTACACTCGATGAAGTAGATTATCAAGAATGTAAAGAAGATACTATGGAACAGCTCCGTGAACTCAGTGAAAGTCTACAAAGAATGATATCTGGAGATATGACTTTGATTGATGAACTTGGTGCGATGCAATTGGTATGCGTTATTTACTTCTCTAAACTTTATATATTTCAGTGATATGTTATTACATATACACATATATATATACAATGCTTGAAATTGTTATAAATTGTTTTTATAAATTGTTAATAGGCAACTCAAGCAGCAATAAGTGAAGCCTTTCAAACACCAGCTGTAATAAGAATGTTTGGTAAACGTGAACCAACTCTACTCAAGGAACTTCTCGCACAAATTGATCGTGATGTGAAACTAGGAAAGTTAAATAAAGAAATTGCTGATCGTCAACGTGGAGAAATAATGAGTGCTTTGAGGCAACTTGGTGAAAAGCTAGAACCATCTGAATTACAGTTGTTGGAACGATTATCCTTAAATAATATCGATACTGCGAGGTATGTGCAAGTCACTGAAACAACAGGAAAGGGTAAAATAGCTTTATTAGATATAATAGGTAAGGAAGTTAAAGCTACGCAAGATACTTGAACTTATCGAATTTAATTAGCAGCAGTACTTGTGCCAATGTAACTATTACTACAACGGGCCACTGATGGTTATTGATAATCTATTGCTACTTTTTTAAAATCTTATCAGAATAATTTTAATATACAATATAATCTTGCTCTATAATTTATATATTCATTTTTTGCCAGTTTGACAATCCGTAATTTCAATATGTATAAGTAATATGTATCATTAAGATTCAAAATATTTATATCGACATATGACTTAAAATATGCATGCAAAATATATAATATTAAATATATTCTAACTTATCTATTCATATATAACATTTGATTTTAAATCAGTAGCAATGCAGTGATAATTGTATCTGACCATGAGGCAAAAATGATTTTCTGTTATTGAAATTTTATAAAAAATAAATATATATGACACACATATAATTCCTAGAAACTGTTACATAATTTTTAGAAATATTCTGTTGCTTAGAATTTTACTGTGATACAATATATATATAGCGTATCATTCAAAGATTCTTTAGTGTGTATGTTATTAGTGCTACATATAATTTAAATGCATTCTGCAATATTGTATATTAATTTTAAAAAACTGTTTTCTTACATGAAATAAATATATTGATGTTCCTAAATGATTTGTTGTTTTGTTTCTATAAACAGATTTCAATTTGATAAACAAATGCTGAAATAAGAATTACAAAGAGAATGCATAAAGAAAAGTTTGATCAATAATTCAAAATCAGTTACTTGGTAACAATATTCATTTGTTCATATTATCATTAACATATAGCATACACATAGTTACATTTAAATCTGTTATATTTCACGTGGAACCAAAGCTTATATCTAATAAGAATGACATAATTGCACGCGTACACGCACAGAGATTAACGAAATTCTATATCTATATATATATATATATCTCTTAAGAATTATATTCTCATGCACCTATGATCCTATAACCATCAATATCTTCCTTCGGCATTTGTTGCAGAGTTATTAAGAGATGTATAAAACTATGATCATTCGAAAATTACTTTTTCGTACTGCTTGGTACAAGTAAGAACAGTCTTTTAAGATTTATTTGTGTGTACACATAACAATTCTTCCACCTTTCCTAAGGAGGAAGTTCATAAAGGCATATTAAATTGGTGTCAAGAATATATTAACGTGCTTCTACAGATTATCTTTTTATTTTATATAAATATGTATACATATATATGTATATATATATATATTTATATATATATATACGAGGGCAGTCTGAAAAGTTCTCGGCCTAACAATGAAAGAAGATTTTTTTGCCGTGAAATATGTTTTATTTCTTAATATAATCTTCTGAAACTTCAATACATTTATTCCAACGTCTTTCCAATAATTCAATACCATCATTAAAGTGTGATTCCGAAAGGTTCTTTTGGCTCTGGTGTATAGTGTGGATTCAAGTGTTATCAACAGTTTTATGAAACTACGCTTGATTGAAATCCATTTTATTTTGCTTAAAATGATTAAAATGTGCCAAACACGCTTGAGAAATACGCATCTGAATGCGTTTTTGGCCAATTGTTAGCAAACGCAGCACTCATCTTGCACAAAGCTTTTTCAACTGGTACTACCACTCAAATGACTTGACAGATCGAATAAAATTTTACATGGGTTTATATCAGGGATGCCACTTTCCAATACAATTATAGTTTGACAGTTTCTAATGCCATGTGTCAGGTCAAGAACTTTTCAGACTGCCTACGTATGTACAGAGTATCCTCCCTCTCTCTTTCACTGTCACTATTTTCATACATCATATTCATTGCACTTTTATTTTTATATGACATATTCAAGTAATTTAAAACTTAAAAATATCGCTTGGAAATTAAATGAAAATTCATTCATTTCTATATTTAAAGTTGCTTTAATTTATTTACTTTATTTATTTTTTTTTAGCTTTTATTCCATTCATAAAATTTAAAATAAAATCTATTTTTATTTTGATATTTCGTTACATAAAAAGCATTCTTAGATTTCACATCTAATAATTACAAGCGCTAGCCGATAATCGGGATGGATATTCTCCGGGACACTCTGTATATACATATATATATATATATATATGTATATATGTATGTATGTGTATATGTGTGTATATATATATATATCTATATATAACATATATGTACATGTATGTGAAAATGAGTACTCTTATCTTTTTAAACGCTCCTTGGCGTCTATTATTGTACTTGTCGTCATATTAACGCTTACGCCTGCACACTCTTTTATGCTCACGCTGCCAGTGAATTTGTTGGCAGTCTGTGCTGCAGTACGCGGTGTTCCAACAACAATGATATATTGCTTCATTCTCACAGTTGTAACACTACAACAAAAAATTACATATGTCTGATAGAATAATCAAATTTTTCAAAGGACGAGATTGCGAAAACGAACTGAAAATTACCCATTGTTTCTTCTTGATGTCAGATATCGCTTGTTTGTGCCTCTGCTCCATTTGCCGTAACTCTTTCCTATATTCCGCCTGTAGTCTCTCCAATTCCCTGCACTTGTCAAGCTCCAATTCGCGGCGTAGTTTCTCCAACGCCGTTGTGGTCGGTTGTTCCGAAGTTCTGCGTTCCCTTTTGATCTGAAAATTTTGTTTCGTCGCCAAAGAATCAAACAAAGAGTTACTGTGTACTGTGCGTAATTTACGATCTCCGCATAAAGAAGGTGATAACCTTGAATGATGCGCGGCTCGCGCGTGATGGCCAACCAGCATTTCACAATTCCGCAAATGAAAGATTCGTAGTGGGAAGCGATCGGTGACAGAGTCTTGTGCGCAAAAGTCTTTAAGAATCGAACTGAAAGCTTACCTTGGCTGGCGGAAGCCCGTCCGCCTGAATTTGTTCAGTCTGCACGAGAACGCACTTCGATCTCGGTTCTTGACAACTGGATGTGACCATGTCTTCTTGCGAGCCCTCCTTCTTCAAGCCCTGCGGGCAGGTGCTCGTTATTTCTCGAGCGGGCTCGTCCTCCGCCACCGGTAAATGAGGCACCTGTCTATCTTCGTTTGCGCCATTGCTCTTCGAGACATCCTTGTTATCCGCCGCGTCGTTCGCGTTCTGAGTCTCGGGATGCCCGTCCGAACTCAATCTTTCGACTTTCACCCTGAGATCCTTCATCAGCTGCTTCGGCACATTCGAGCTGTGCGATGCGCCCTTCGAACTCGACGACTCTTGATTCCGTATCTTTGCGGGACTAGGACCGTCGTCGTCGTCGTCGTCGTCCTCCATTGTGCTAATTTCCTCCTTCTTCTTCTTCCCCAACTTTGCCAGCAAGTGCTGATGATGCTTCAGCTCTTCGAAAGCCCTGTTCCATGCCGTTGATCTTTTTATCTACGAGAGATAGAGCTTTCAATTATACAGAACCTGAAATTCTTATTTCGATTACGGGCTAAAACGCCGTGAAGAGAAATTAGTCTTTCGCCTCTATACATGCGTACCTCCGTTTCTTTCCACTTTCCTTTTTCCGAAGGCTATACAAGAAGTCGTCGTTGATGATTAATAAGCTTAATAAGTTTACACGTTTTAAATCGATTTTGCGAAGAGATCTTTTCGCTTTGAACACGTGCTATGAGTCGTGCATATTTACCAGAATCAAAATTAACAACCAACTTTATCGTGATGTGAGTAACCGAAGAGTAGATGGTAGATACGTACCTGCAAGCTCTGCAACGTGGAGGAGATGGGCCGAATGAAGACTTTCTCGATGTTGGCTCTCATGTGATGACCTCCGAAGAAGCGCACGTCGTAGATGTTGCCGTTAACCTGCATAACTTTGGCGGGCCAGTACGGATATCCCTTCTGCTTCGCATAGACCAACTGATGTGGAGGATTGCACGGTATGCAGAACCACATCTTTTCAGATTTCTCGTTCGATATGCGATAACAGTCTGCGCAACGGCGAATCTCCTGGAGATCGTAACAGCAGTCCTGAACAATTTCTCGTACCTCCGTGATATATCATGATGTTGTGCAGAATATTGTGCGCATCAGCCTCGAACTCTGCAAGATTCTTGTACTCCTTATTATTCGTCTTCGCGTCCATTATCGCCAAGTCCATGTGTTTCTTTATGAGAATACCCGGTCGCCAGGCGTCCTCGCCCTCGCTCACCCAGGTTGGCCCAGAGAAGCCATTTGCGGGCGTAACGATCGGGCCGTTGTTAAAAACGATCGTGCGATTTGTAATTTCCGGCGGTAATTTTGCTTTCAGATGGCCGCAAGTGAAACTGAGGATGTGATTAAGCTCGGTCTTGTCAGGATATGTGTCGTTATTTATTTTCTGCAACATTACGTTCGTGTTTTTAACGTACCGAATATACAGATTGTCAGCAGCGAGAGATGACGAGTGAGATGGTATATGCATATATTATTTATTTACCCTTATTTTTATCTATATAAATTCACGTGTATATCTATACAGGGTATTCTGTAAGAGTTCTGTCGAGGTCAATTACTCAGGAGATGAATGGGGGACCCAAAAACAAGAAAGAAAGTTGATGCGAACACAGGTTCGGAAATGCGTTATTCTCGAATTATCGCCATTCTTACGTTGAAATTTGAAATTGCTTTGCTTTCGAATTTTTGTGTCAAAATTGAAACAGGAGATAGTTTTTATGAGTCTTATAATAGAATTAAAGTCAAATAAAAGTTACGGGCTGCTTCAGCACTATTCAGCATTACCAAGGTACAGCCCACTTAATATCTCTTGGCAGAGATCAGGATCCCACAGTTCGTCACTCCTGTGGTATTTAGTACCAGGCTGTATCTCGATAGTGCTGGATAGTGCTAAAGCAGCCCGCAACTTTCATGTGACTTTAATTACGTTATAAAACTCATGAAAACCATCTGTTTCAATTTTGCTTTGACAAAAGTAAAGTAATTTCAAATTTCAACGTAAAAATGGCGATAACTCTCGGGAACAACGCATTTCCGGACCTATGTTCATATCAACTTTCTTTCTTGCTTTTTGGGTCCCCATTCATCTCCTGAGCGATTGACCTCGACTTACGGGACACCCTATATATTCACACATCAGCGTATTTACCTCGCAGAAGACACAAATCTTCATTTTTGTAGCGTTGCCGGGATAGCACTCCGGATGATACACTCTGTGACATTGTTCGCAGCACTCGACCGCGCCAGCTCTTTGACACTTGCAGCAGTACCAATCGTGATCGTCGGCATTAGCTAATAGGTCTACCGGTGGCAGCCTATAGCTCTCTTGCTCGATGCCATTTCTCGTAGGTACTTTCTTCAACAAGACAAGGCCGTCCTCAGCAGCCTTGTTGATCTCCTCTTGAGCTTCCTGTTCTGTAAAGCCGTAAACTCGAGCCAAATGCCGTACCATACGGTCGTTACTAGGTAAGCTTCTTTGATGTACCGTGATTTTAATTGTATCCCAAATACGTTGTGTCATAGACGGATCGCTTTTTCGACGTATCGGCATGTTGACGGTGAGCTGCAACAGGAGAAACAAACACCCTCTGTCGCTCTTATTCCGCAAAATTGGCCTGACGAAATCTGCCGGGAAGTAACCAGGAGCGGTTTCGCGAAAAAATTTATGACACGACTGTTCCAAGCAGCACATAGATCGTTGAACCGCCAGTTCAAACGGTCGTCGTTTCAATTGATAAGCATATCAGTGCCCTCATGCTGTTGTCGGTACCGTTATGTCTAAGCGAAGATACACATCATCAACGGTGCAAAATGGATACCCACATATGCAGCCGCGTACAGTATCCACGCGCTCATACAACAATCGCTACATCCAGTCTGTCTCTGCCAAGCTCATGGTGCGGCAGTTTCGGTATATAATATCGATGTAAGCTGAATTCGACGAACTCAAATACTCATACGCAAGACAGCTCAGGAATCTAACAAACGGCATTTCTCGAGAGGTCGCAACATGCACCCCGTGATGTTAGACGCAGCGGGTTATATACTGTTGTTGTCCAGCCTCATCACGTTTGTGATGTTACTGCGAGAAGGATGTAGACGCAAGAAGAGGTCGCCGTTTTACATTCTGTCGACGTCCGACGTGCTCAGTTCCATCATAACGGCCATCGCGTTGCTCGCGAGTCATATGGAGGCCGGGATAACACTGAGTTACAATTGGCAAAACAATACCGGCGACATCGAGGCTGATGGCGCGTGGACTATCAAGGATCAAGACAGGTACAAGCAAGACTTGTTCCCTCGGACGCGTGAACTAAATCGCGAAGCAACTCGCAGAGTCGGCTCCAACACGACTCTGACGTGCGACGTAAAGGACGTGTTCACGCAGTACGGAATGCTACTCGCTCCACTGACGAATGCGTTCATATCCTTGCTGACTTTTGCCGTACAGTGCAACCTCCATGTGGCGTGCGCGAAGCGGAAATGCGCCAAAATGATGAAATCGTCATCGAGCGACGAACGACTTGAGACGAAGCGCGTCGAAGTAGCGGAAGACCAGCAGGAGTTGGCCTCCCAAGGGAGCAACGTTAGCGCGAGGAACGCGGGTATTACTCGGAGGATCATGAGAGTGTGCCAGTTTCGGCCAGCGAGAGGAGCCGACGACCAGAAGCCGGCCAGTTTCCTCGTCACGAGTCATTGGCTCGTGCCGATCCTCGTCACAGTGATTCTGTGTCTCGCCGAATACGACGACATGAACACCGTCCGGAGTATGGAGGACACCGAATGCACATTCGACAGTAATTTCCCGTTGAGCTTTCATGTGCTTCCAGACGCTGAGGGTAATCGGACGATCGCCAACTCCAACGTGTACACAGCAAACCTGAAGAATTACTACTTCGTCGTCGATGAAGCGTCGAATACAAGCAGCGTGGAAGTGAATCGAATAGTATCCAAGGTACAGGGTATCGTTAGCAACATGCTGAATTTCACACGCAATTTCACGGAGGATACAGATTTCCTTGACACCTTCAGGTTGCGGAACGTGACGGATTATGCGAAGAATACGAGCTTTTTCGAAAATGTTGCAAATATCGATAGAACTGGAGAGACTCAAACTATAAACGATACAATAGTAGAGAGAGCCCAAAGTGTCTACAATCTATCGCCGTACACAGATAACAGTACATATTTCAACGAGGAATCGCTATTTCATGATCTGCCGAAGGAGGAATCTTCAGAAAAGTCAGATATGACTACACTCGACAGCTCGAGCAACGTAACGCAACTGTCAGGCCAGAACGAAAACGGCAGTTATGAAGTGCACACGCAGACGCACTTTGCAGATACAGAAAAAGTCACAACTCAGAAGACTGCGGACGTTCCCGTCGCGCAAGATGCAGCATTCGTTTCCGAGGCTCAAATATACGCCGATATTCTCAAACGTATTCACGTCGCTAGCGCATATACCGCGTCAAAAAATCATCGCAATCATTCGGTAGATCGATCCTACGACAGGCAGCAGCCGAAGCTGAACCATCTGGAGGATTACATCGCAACGATGAGGTCCGGTTCGATCGAAAATTTATTCCTTCATGAAAATAATCATCTTGACCGTGATGTTAACACGGAGCCGAGCAGTTCACCGCACATGATCAACGAGTGCCTCGTTTCGAGTGGGTTTCTGAAGTTGCACCTGTTTGTATTGTCCTTCGCGGTATACTTCCTGCCGATTCTGCTCTGCTGCATCCTACAAGTGCGAGGAAAGCAGGCGTGTGAGAATACGCTCGCGATACTAAAAGTAAGGGCCGACCTTATGTCTACTTTGCTTCGCAGTAACTCAAACAATGGTAACATAATTGTCAACGAATGGCTCTCCACGAGCGGAAGAAGCAGTGGTCGTCAAGACTCAATCGATGAATTTAAGGCATCAGAGATAAGAGACCATCCCAGCAGCGTAACAGATGTAGTGACAATGGACAGAAACCATGAGAGATACATGGAAGCGCAGAACAGAGATATACTCTTGGAAGTGAATTGCACAGCACGAATATGTGGGGTCGTCAAGGTATCTCTGATTCTGTGTGTGCTCCTCTGGTCGCCAATATTCTTAGGAACTCTACTGAGAGTATTCTCATGCATCCATGCACCGCAATGGTTAACAGATACCACGTACCTGAGTGCAATTTTTTTCGGTATCATAAGAAATATCCTGAATATAAATATAATAAAAATCCAAGAGCTCTGCAACAGTGATAACACAAAAGAAAATAGGATACATCCGGTCGAGTGAAATAGATAGTATTTAATACAGTAATGGTAATATAAATCGTAAATAATTGATCGTTTAGGATTTAATTATCAAAGTTCGAATTTGAAGAAGATAATATCAGAATTTTATATTCCACGAGTATAAAACAATGCTTATGATACCCGAAAGTGCAAGATACACCGACGAAAATGTCGTTTTCACGAAACACACATATATATATATATATATATATATACATATATATAACGACTTTTGAGATACCGAATGTAACTGCGCTTGTTCTCCGCATGGATTATCATTCGCAACGAAAAATATCCTTCGTGACGAAGGAGTGTAATCAAGCAATTGTACTCCCGCTATCCGTACGGAGAAGCGGAGAAAACACGACACAAGCGCGAATAGCGTCGTTGCGCAGTCTAATCGCGACAAACTTGGCGTTCATTTATCGCGCGAAACGAAGTGAATTAATTCACAAGTGGACAGTTGCTTACTCACTTATCGCTTATCACGAGTAAAGTTCCAATCGCTATATAGACAATTGTGGCGGAGAGAGTCGCTCGAAGGGCTGCTTCGAGATTTGAAGATCGAGATACTCGATCGTCGATCGGTTATCGGGGGCTTCACGGTGACATCGTCGGCCACGCGAGCGGAATTTCACGGATTTCCCAGCGACGCAGTCAGCAACCAACAAATAACGCGACAATAATTAACGTTAGAAATCGGAACACCGTGCGGATCACTGTGTGCACGTCACAAGCCTGTCTTAACCTCAGCCTCAGCGAGTGCGCGCGCACGCGGAACATGGAATTGCATATCGACGAGTTATTGCGTACCGCCGCGCAGTATCGCATGATGAAAACGATGCCATGCGATCTGGATTTGAATTTAAATTCGAATCCGCGAGCATTCACGGCATTTTTCTCGTACAATCGATCCCGGCGGGACGATAGATTGACGACTCGCGTTTCGAACGAGGACTCACCAAATTCGTATAATAAACATTCATTTATTAAGATTTTATTCCGAAAAAATGCGCTGCATTTATTCGACATACAAGAACAACTTTCGATATAACTTCTAGAGATAGTTATATAATATACGTGTAATAACCGTTATATAATTTATGATTTATATAACAGCGTTACACATACACACATACGTCTTCGATCGGGAAACTAATCGAGATTTATTATCGTTATTATTATTATTATTATTATTATTTGTAGTAATATTGTATCTTCATGATTTGTGAGAATTCAATATAAAGTGTGCAATTGTTTACTCACAAAAGACCAAACGCACTTATTCGTTACCCTTACACAGACAGAGAGAGAGAGAGAGAGAGAGAGAGAGAGAGAGAGAGAGAGAGAGAGAGAGAGAGAGAGAGAGAGAGAGAGAGAGAGAGAGAGAGAGAGAGGGAGGGAGAGAGAGAGGGAGAGAGAAAGAGAGAGAGAGAGAGAGACTCATTATTCAACAATATCTTTCTCAATAACGTAACCGATAAGGGTATTCGAGCGAGTCATCAGGTTATACGACGGCGCAAATAGAAAATTAAGAAAGCGGATGCAATTAGTCGCGTATCTTATAACGTTTAATAAGCTCGACTCTAGTTAATTAGCGCGATAAACATAACGCGAGCTGGTTCCCGCACCGTAGGTTATTCAACGAGAAATAACGATCACGTCTCCGACGTGAAATTATTTCTTCACAACTCTCAGAGCCTCCTCCAAACTTTGCAACAAATCCGTGCCATCCTTCCATGCCATAATGGTCGCGACTGGGTGCATGTTGTGGGGTAATTTAGCCAAACACTTGATGAGCATGTAGTCCTTACGCGGACACGCCAAATCGGCCTCCGAGAGACGCAGGATAGGGCATAGATCATTCTTGCCGTCGCCGATGTAAACTATTCTGTCATAGTATACGTCCTGTGCATGTTTCTCGCTGATAAAATCCATTAATATCTTCCCCTTGCACAGGTTCATGCTGCTCAGGTCGCAACTACGTTGCATGTGATACATATCCACCTTCAATCGGCCGTCCTCGTCGAACTGGGCCGGATTTGTGAAGACCCTCGACACAGTGTGCTCGAGCTTCTTGCTCTGCAGCCACCAATTTATAAACAAGGAGTTCGAGTCGCTGATGATGATGATCTCGTGGCCGTTGGCGTGTAGAGTGGTGAGGAGTGTCTCCATACCCGCGACCGCTGGAATAGCAACGATCGCATTCTTGATCTGCTTGCCATCGATGGAATTGTCGTGCAGGAGCTTGAAGATTCTATTCATATAAGTGAGCCAGCCATTTGACTGATACAAATTCCTCACTTCTTGCGGTATCTTCTCCTCAGGTAGTAACTTTCGTGCTACCGTGTCGGAGTTGTCCTCGCAGATGGTGCGGTCGAAATCGAATACAACCAGCGAGCTGTAATTCATCTAAGCACGATCGTCGTGTTAAAAGAGAAGTACTATCCGTGTTGAATAATTATAACTCAATGTATCTTACAGGGATGACAGTGGTAACAACGAGAGACAAAGGTGAAGACACAAAGGATACATTATTTTTGCACATTCCTTTACTTTTTGCTGGGTGTAATTATTAAACATGGTGTGAATCAAACTATGAACCTAACAACTCATTAAAATAAATCTTTGTCATTACTTTCAGATTAACTTTTACAATGACATTGAAATTGGAAATACGCAATGAAAATCTCAATTACTTATCGATACTTAGAGCGTAACTTAAAATAATTCACAATTACAACATATATATATATATACACATTACAGAAAAATTTATCGTAAATATATTACACAATACATTCAATGTGTCATGGAATAGGATACAATAACTAAGGAAAAAACTAAAACACAATTATGTTAATATAAAGAATACTCACTGTTGATCAGATGTGATATTGAAGACTAAGCCAAAATTAGTGTCTTCTAAGAACGGATTAGCGTTATTATCTACCTCTTCTGTCTTACAAGATTAATCGATGTTTTTGACCGTTTAGTTTAGTTTATGCATACATATTTATTAATCACCAATCACTAGACGATATTCAACGTCTGTAAAATGTATCCACACATCAGCTTGTCCTTCTTTTATGTTGCTCTTGATTGTTCACAGTTGTCCCACTCTTTCAGTCTTGCCCCATCTCCCTTTGTTTTTGTTCTCAGTCGTCATCGCATTGTTTACCTATTTAAAAATAAATCTCTTCAAATCAAACGAATCTATTGTTTTGCAGCTGTGTAGCGTTCACGAGTTGTCAGAGAACCAAAGGATGAGCTATGAGGAGAGAAGTAAATGTACCAATAAACAAAATTATTGCATGAAGCGCTCTTATAAATGTATCTGGGGATGAAAAATAAACGTCGAAACTGATATATATTTCGTAGTATATGATCTCGAAATAATCTTTACGAGCACGTTGAAATGCTTCTTGGCTGACAATCAAACAGTGTTTTTGACTGGTGATTGCGCCAACGCTACTCACCGCTTCTAACCGCCTCTGTTTTTGCGTACACGTTTGACATGAGCGTTGGCATACGATCAAAATTTCATAAAAAAGAAACAGCACGCCGAAGAAATTACGATAGGTGAAAATTCATGACGAGTATTATTGTTTCTAATATCAGTGCTTCAAGATACAATCAAAGTCACAGTTTTTCATACGCCATCCAACTAATTTTCATAATGAGCAATAAATTGTAGAAGTATAATTCTCAAAATTTTGTTGACTCATACCTGTCAGACATGTCATACCTGTCAGATGCTTGGCTTTTTATTTATTTCTTAAGCTCCCATCTGGAACCAGAGTCTCTTGAGCTACACTATATTACACTTTTCATATTCATGATAAGTCATGTAAAGATATTAGTGGAGAAATAAAATAACATTCTCAAATGACGCAATTTTGTTAAATGAGGATTGGTAAATTACAGATAAAGTCTCAGCTAAATTTAATGGACGCTACTAGATTGTGCTTCAAATCTCGGCTAAAAAGCCGACTTTTATAAAGCTGAACATGTTCAAAAACAAAAGGTTTGAAACTACACTAAATATTTCCATTCTATTGTTATTATTGTTGCCAAAATTACACCTCGTTGAAGTTGACTCGTTAAATTTAAAAATAAACGCCTGATGAATTGTTATGTCCCAATAATTAAATGATGAAGGTCCGACTGACTTATCGTTGAGTCTACCTCTATTGTATCACCTCGAATCTACAGTAAAAGTAGTGACGGCGCTCGTAGCGGAGAGTTTGGAACTAAAATTTACTTCTCAGCGAAATAATAGGCCTGTTCGTTTTGTCTGCGCTGCTGAACTGGTGCATTAAGTTAAAGTGAGACAACCGTAGGTTTTCTCACTTCAACTTGTTGCACCAGTTCAGCAGTGCAGACAAAACGAACAGGCCTATTGGGTCTAATAATTGGTCTGTTCTTTTTAGCTGCACTACTGCTGTACTGAACTGATGCAATAAGTTAAAGTAAGAAAACATATAGTTGTCTCATTCTAACTTATTGCACTAGTTCCGCAGTGCAGCTGAAAAGAACAGACCAAATACCTTACACCCGTATTCATAGGCAGGCCTTATGGGAGATTCACACTGCGTCCGATGTCGGACGTCGTACGTCGGATGCAGTGTGAATCCTCTATAAGGCTTGACTATGAATATAGATATTAAGCCAGCGGCACACGGTGCTTGTTTTCGTGCTGGATTACTTGCTGGATGAAAATACTGCTTTCTGATTGGTATATTTTCGAAGATGGATGGAAACGCACCAATCAGAAAGCAATATTTTCATCCAGCAAGCAATCCAGCACGAAAACGAGCACCGTGTGCAGTGATGACAAGTCGTGGGAATTTTGCGCGGGTCAAATGATACCCAAGGCACAATATATACAGTAGCGACACTCTCTGTCGGCATCTTTGAAGCTAGCGTCTTCAAAAATAAATTGCACATGTGCAACCTTGTTACCTAACCAATAGCAAGCAGGATCTACTTGAGTCTACAAACGCTTGGAACGCTAAAAAGAACGCCATTATACGGTGTTTAAAGCATTTGCAACATTTAATGAATCGTACTCTATATGATTTAATAAAAATTTAAATATATATATATATATATATATATAGAGAGAGAGAGAGAGAGAGAGAGAGAGAGAACGAGAGAGGAAAAGAGAGAATGAGAGAGCAGAAATTGAAATTAACAATTATGACAAAAAGATGTTTACTCTACATTTTTTAGCTGCACTGCTGAATTAAGCGTAATAAGTTACAGTGAGACATATAGTATATTTTTTCTGCGAGAAAGTGAGATAGAAAAAGATGTCTGTAACGCTATTGGTTAGGTAACACGGCTGCGCATGTGCAGTTCATTTTTGGAGACACAAAATTTAGAGAGTGTCGTTATACAGTGTATATACTGTGCCCGGGGACTCGCTACTAGCTTCTAGAAAATAACGGGTTTAAGCCCAGTTGCACCAACATTATTTTGATTTTAAGTGAGACTTAAATATATTTCTGTCTTTATTTATTTAGTAAGAAATATAAAGATAGACTTATGGTTTAAGTCTCACTTAAACCAAAATAATATTGGTGCAACTGGGTCTTAATAATACATTGGACTCATTATTTTATTTTGATAAATGTGGATTGAATGTCAGCTAATTTTATGGAAACTGATAAATATTAATTCGTGTCTTAGTTAAATTTTATGAAGGCCGATAAATAATAGTTCGAGTTTCGGCGAAAAAACAATTTTAGTCGAGACTCGAACCACTATTTTATCGGCCTCCATAAAATTTAGCCGAGTCTCAATTCACATTTATCGAAATAAAATAACGGGTCCAATATATTATTAGATTGGTTATTTCCAAAAATATATAGTGGGTTTCCTCTATCATTTGACCTGTTATTTTTCAGGTGTAAAAATAACAGGTCTAAATATTATTAGACCCGTTATTTTCATGAGTGATGCAAATTAGTTCCAAACTCTCCATTACGAGCCGCCACTATTTTTACTGAAAATTCGAGATGGCAGCAGTACGACTCAGCGATAAGTCAGACGGAGCTTTATTATTTAATTATTGGGACTTAGCAATTCATCAGGCGTTTATTTTCAAATTTAACGAATCAACTTCATTGAAGTGTAACTTTGGCAACAATAAAGTGAGAAAAAATATAATTGTCTCATTTTAACTTATTGCACTAGTTCAGCAGTGCAGCTATAAAGAACAGACCCGTTATAATGCGATGCTTCAGGAAACATTTTGTAATTTTAAACCTTTTGTTTTCAATATATTCAGCTTTATAATGGTGCTATCGTTTTCCGTTGAAGTAAGTCGATTAGAAAGAGAAGCGGCAATCCTTTAATCTTTAACACACTTTATCTTTCGGTTAAACATTTATATCGCAAACTTGTGTTTTAAAATAGGAACTCAGTTTCTCCAATTCGATCAATTTGTTTGTCTTCTCTGCACATTCAAAGCCGAAAGAATATTTGTTATTCCATCGTTATTTAACTCGTTGAAAGAAAAGCGTATCGCAATTTACACAAATTTAAAACGGAAGATCTGACTGAATTTTCAAACTTTTTAAACGCTATTTCATACAATCTTTCGTTTACATGGGGCAGCCTAATAAACTTTATCAAAAAGTTTAGTCTTTGACGGCTCTCGGCTCATACTTGCGTGTAGCACAATAAAGAAATAACAAAGTTTACAACGAAAGATATGTCTGGAAAGTATAGTCATTTCAAGCTATAAGATTTCCGAATAATCTCATTGTCATAATTTTTGAGCGAATTGTGATTATAATCATGTTGCATTTTGTCCGTCCGCTCTTATCCTATCTTATTCTTTCCTTTTTTTTTGGTGCAATTTTCGTGTCGTCACGTATCGATGTTCCGCGTAATGAGAGCGCCGACAACCATCCCGTAGCTGTCTAACGTGCGCATGGTTTGTGACGTGTGTTTCTGTGCGCGCGTATGTTTATGCTGTGTTCTCCCTTAAAACAGACCCGGCAAAATGGGCGATATAGCACGACGAGCATCTGATCACATTTTAGAAGTGATATTCTCATATCTGGATCTGCACACGCTGAGAAATTGCTCGCTGGTGTGCAAGAGGTGGTATCAGTTCCTCAACGACGAGAATAACCACGTGTGGCGGATGCACTGTATTAGGAAATTAGCTCAGGAGGCCCTTAGTTCGGATTTGTTGTCATCTGTGCCTACCTACAAGTCGAAGCTTCGTGCTTTCTATCACGCGTGGAATCCGAACGATTGCTCGCGCAATATCTACATCAAACCCAATGGATTCACCCTGCACAGGTTGGTTCGGCGCAACGTTATTTCCTTGTCCAGCATCATCGACCTGTCAAGATCCACTTGCGTCTACGACACTCGTCTCGAATTTCAGAAACCCCGTGGCACAGAGCACAGACGCGTGTAGAGGTAAAATAGGCTTTAGGCACGGGCGCCACGCTTGGGAAGTTATTTGGGAAGGACCATTAGGAACAGTAGCTGTAATAGGAATTGCTACTAAAGAAGCACCCCTTTTGTGCCATGGATATGTAGCATTGCTCGGCTCTGACGAACATTCCTGGGGTTGGAATCTCGTCGATAACCATTTACTGCACAATGGGGACCCGCAGGGAAATTATCCTTTGCTCAATAATGCCCCAAAGTATCAGGTATGTTTGTCGTTTACATACATATCACGACAGAAGAAATCCTTCTTTTGAGAAGTATTAAAATTTCCTCAAACTCTGATAATATTTATTTACAGGTTGGAGAAAGAATTAGGGTAATTTTGGATTGTGACGATAATACATTATCATTTGAGAAGAACTATGAATTTCTGGGGGTAGCTTTTAGAGGTATGGCTTCTTATTTATTCTTGGACATATCGTGCATGTGGTGTGATTGTTCAAAGTTCAATATGATTATGTATTTCCTCTACATTCATTCCCAGAATGTGTCCCAATCTCTTTGAGCTTTTAGAACAAAACTGTAAGCTTTCATAAGCAACTTTGACAGGATTGCCAGATAAGAGATTATACCCATCTGTGTCTGCAGTTTATGGAAAAACTGAAGTGTCTATGGTATACTTAGGACCACCACTGGATGGCTAACACATTACATTTTGAAACATATCTGCGAAAGTTAAGTATTTTAAGTAATTGCTTATGGATATATTTCTCAGTAATTTTTACTGAAAGATTTCTCTCGGTAGATGATACCACGTTGTACAAATATTGCCATTTTATTCCCAGATAAAATTTGGGTATCACCAGTCATTCTCAGCGTACATGTATATATTAGTAATAAATTTGCCATATATTTGATACCCTTATGCGGTATTTATTATTATTTTGTTACTTAGATAAAATATGTTTAATATATGTAATTTTTTTTATTTTTGTAAAAAATTTTACTTTAATGTCATATTTCTTACATACAAACAGTATTTATACATCTTTCAATTTACTTGCATTTAATTTTTTAAGGTATATTTTAAACTCCAGGACACTCATTATGATTTTAAAGTCTTTTGTTACTTACTGCTAAATACTAAGACCATGAATACATTGCATTCTTCTAAAATGCTCATTTTCTTTTAACGTTAATGTATCTGTGTAATAACACTGTCGTATATGTGAAAACTTTGTTGTTAAGAAGATTAAGATATGATAAAACGCGGTAGACGAGGAAATCTTTCTCGGTTTTCTGCAAAGCTTAATATCTGGTTTGCTTTTGTCTCATGTGATTTGTGAGTGAGTGAGTGTGTGTGTGCGTGCGTATGTGTGTGTGTGTGTATGTGTATGTATGAGTGTGCAATTATCTATATACAGAAAGTAGAAAGTTAAATAGAGTTTTTACCGCGCGCGATTAATTGTATTTCTTTTGTATTATTACAATAACCATACCAAAAATGGCTTTCAGGAGTAATTCTTCGCACGATAGTATACAGGGTGTCCCACTTAAAGTGTTCATTGAGTATAGCTACGTTATTTTTTGTATGAGAACTAGCGTGAACAAGAATTGTACAGCGTGGTGAAGTCAAATAGTGACAGAATGGGCTGTTCTGCAGGGCCTCTTTTAATAGGCACACCAGAATCACCGAAAATTATTCGTCCTAAAGGTGAACTGGATTTTTTTCGTTTTTGTTGTGCGTACAGTTTTTGTTTTAAAAGAGGAAGCAACTGTGTATTCGATCGTTCATAATGTTCACCACTTTGACTTAAGAGAAACGCAAAAGAAAAAACATTCAGTAATTATTATTAAGCATTTCTTGATGAAATGTATTTTTCTCGTATTTAAACACTTAACGTCCTTACATGTCGCATCATGCGAACTGATATAGATTCTCAAATCAATATTCTAAAGTTTAGATTTAGGTTTTAAGCTTATATTAAGTTGCTAGTCCTGTACCAATATCGTTTTACCGTCTCGTGTATATGCCATTGTAAATTTTTATGCCACTATTGCGGACGAGTGAATGCACAAGAAACATTTCGCTTTACCGCGTAAGTCTTGAAAATTGTCTCTTTCGTTGATCGAGTCTAGTGAGTTTTTATGTTGACCGACATATACATATATACATATATAAATACGAAAAATTGTATATTGCGATCTATCAAGTCTATATATATTTATAAATAACACTGTTTTAATATAAGATTGAATACTGAGGCGAGATTATAGAACGAAAATTAGATGTGATTAGACAATTATGTATAATGTACATATTTATATTATGACAATTGCGTTTACCGTATGTAGTGTTCGTGAATTAGTTTTTCTAAACTTTTGTACAGAATCGTGTAAATAGTGATTATAAATATTTGTGAAATAAATTTTATTTCATATGTAATCATCTTCTTTTTCTCTCTAGAGATTCGCCATAAACTTTATATTTTCGCCTCTCCTCTGTACACAAATAAAATAAGAATTGTAGTTCGATCCGAACGATTCCTTTATTCATTTTATCCAAAGTCTTACAATGTTTTCACAATTCGAACGCTAATGACAGTAACTATTACGTTACGTCCATCAAACTCATCTCTCAGGTTCCGGCATCATCGGACTTGAGAAATTGTCATGGCACTGAAACCAAATGCTTGCTCTTATTTGTATCCCGTATCAATATTGAACGTGTTGAAGTCACCACCCTCTCTCACCTGTCGATTCTGTTCGAGCGAAGAGAAACGCTTTTCCCCGAATAGAAAAGAACACACAAATTACCAGAGTGCGAATGTAAGTGTTACACCCAATAATGCCCTTATCTCTTTAGATAAGCGCAATCGTATTTGGCAAAAGTAATACTGTACAGTGACGAGAAACATATAGTGACACGACAATACTAACACTCTCACTGTACAAATTCATATAAAGTTCCACAAAAATATATATCAGCCAGTGTTGGGCGTTTATGCAGAAAATATACAATATATAATTTCATTACCTGATACGCGTGATCTAAGTCGACGAACAATAAGAAGCAGCGACTCCATGTTATTCGTTCGCCTAGTTTATAATTATATACAGGACGTCTCACTAGTAACATGCGTGTATGTGTGTTTCTGGCTTTTGAATGATATCCTATTTCATTCTTCATTAAACAATCAAGGAACTGAAATAATCGACCTAATCTAATTGATAATAAATACAAAATATAATACAAATACAAAAATAAATAAAATATAATCACTTGAGCTTCTCACTCGTTAATCGTGTGTAATCATATAAAATTTCGAATATTTTAATTCATAACGAATGTTCGAAGAACAACGACGAAACATCCTGTACATAGTATAAAGTGATAGTTTAGATATATTATGCATAGGCTGTGCGCAAACAGCCAACACTGATACAACGAAGAGTTATTCTACATATTATTTCTTTTCAATCGCTTCGTGGTTGAGAATTAAATAGTCGTACGATTACGTAATAAATATTTTTCTCACCACGAACCCAATTGAGAAATTACGTTAAATCTATATGATAATTTATCCCGCTACTCACACGTCGCGCAGATGTGCGTATTTCTACCTAATTATAATCAATTCATCAATGTAAACATAAAGTGCAATACGAAGCATCATTCCACATACTCGATCCTACTGACACTATTTACATATGTCGTATGTTATACATTGAGAACGAGAAGTAACATACTTGCCCCCTTTTATTTTAGTACAGCGCGTATAAAGGCAATGAAGTTCACGACATATCAAATTACGAACAGATCATACATCGATCATGCGATACGTCTTTGCCAGATACTCATACAATGTCGATATAATCACAAATGAGGCTGAAACTGACGGGAAATTTATCCGCAGTCAATCGCAAGAACACAATCTAAATGCGCATGAATTACATGGTACAAGGTGTAAGTACGCGCACTCGTTTCCTACTTCGAAATCTACGCAGAAAAGATTCGTTGATTCAAGGAATATTAGTGATAAAGAATTCTAATAATATGATAATATTAAAACAGGAACTTTTCTCTAGCAGCTTTTTCTCTTTTTTTCTTATTAATTCTACGAAATGTATTTACATGTTATGGGGATATATATTCGGAAGATTCTACAAAAGGAAAATATATCAATTTCGCTGATCGCCTATCTAGTGTATCGTTATGTTTCGCTTTATCCATAGATTTGTAGGAACGTAGGAATTAAAGAGAACAAATTAATGTAACGCGCCTTATTCTAAACAATAACAACAGATAAATATTTTGAGGAATTGTCAGTAGGCTTGTAGTATGTGTGTATATCGTGTATTTGTGTGTGTGTGTGTGTGTGTGTGTGTGTGTGTGTGTGTGTGTGTGTGTGTGTGTGTGTGTGTACATTACATTTTACATATATTGTTACCATTATATGATTATTCTTTAAATATACAAACAACGAAACTGCAAACTTATTTTATCGTAGCGTAGATCGCTCATTAAGAAAATATTTGACCCTTAAAGGATATTATACAACTGCTACTTAAATTAGGAATTCGTTTAAGTAAAGAGATATCTATATAATCGCAACACCTTTCCATATATGTATTGTGACTACTGTTTCTAAATCATACCTAATATCTGTCAATATAATTGTCATTAGTGACATCATGAAAATATTATATTTATTTGACCCGTCTTCTGTAAAATTAAATTAAATCTTTGGTAACATCTTTGGTGAAACACCTGAATATATCGCTATTCTACATTATATAACTTTCTTCGACTTATATCCTCTGCTACACTTATATCGTATACGAAATAATCATATGTTCAGAGTTGTATAAATGAGGTATATCCCGATAGTGGGGAACAACTCACTTTCTTGTCGCATAAATAATCCATTAATTATCTAGTTAGGCGAATTTTACAATAGTACTGGACACGTATATATTAAATAAAAAATTAAGCATAAAGATAATAAACTGTAAAAGAACCAAATAAATAATAAGATTGCACCATGATAAAGCATTAATCAAGAGACGCTTAGTCGTCTCTCTCTCTCTCTCTCTCTCTTTCTCTCTCTGTGGCTGAAGTTTTTTCATTATCATAATTTCATTCACTTTTCATGGTGCAGATAATGCAGATTTGTTTTCCTATCAGTTAGATTTAATTTTATATATTTCACGAAATTAAAAAAAAAGTATTCTTTATTGGAGCTCTTTGGTAATGGTAAAAAACGCACACGATAACTTGACTATCTTGGAAAGTTAATAATAGGGAAAACCTACTTATCATTAGATAAAAGTAATTTATTATATTGCTTTTGGATATTCTGTGCAATTTGTCTACGTACGCATTCGTATATTTTGCATTACAACACTCGCGACAACCCGGTCATTCGCGTTAGCTTAAATACTGATCCTCTCGTTGCCGCCGTCTCTTTGAGACGACTGTATATTCATTTTTAGGCCATTTTAATAAAAAATATTTTAATTAAGAGCATATATATATATTTTTTATAGTACCATGCCAAAGACAATCTTACTTGTTACTAGTTTAATTCGCGAAACACTAGTATATACGTCTAATGCAAGAACTGGAACATTCTCGTGCAAAAATTAGGATCATGCTATTTTTAGTTCAAGGATTAATATGTCACTTGTGGTGTATCTCACCCAATGTTATCTCTATAAAAGTTCCTAGAGAGAATCGAATTCTTATATATTTATATTACAAGATCGTTAAGTTAATTTTCTTCGTGCAGTTCTATAAGTTAAGTCGATACTAGTGTCACTTTAACGCTATTATTATCATCATCATCATTACCATTATCCATATTAGTAACATAAATTTTGCGTTATCAGGCTATTCTCATCTCGAAAAAAATTAGCAAATTTTGTTTCTGGTACTAATTCTATGCAAACAATATAGGCCGACTTATTTTACTATCCAGCGGTAATGTTTACAAACATCTTTATACGAAAGACCAGTTAAAAAAAAAAAGGGAGAGACAAAATGAATAATGGATCAATTATGCAAAAACGTTATTATATAATAGATAGTCGTTTCAATTTTTCCAGATGAAAACGCCAAGTACAATGAGTACACATCCTATTCTTTCATGACGGTTACATGCGGCACAACTATGAATGTCTCTAATATTCCTCGTCGCAAAAACTTGTTCAGCAAAGAGTTAAATCTTATAGGAACTGTCATATAAAAATATCTTCATATACATGACCAGTTTTGTAAGTAGGGCGGGAGAAAGAGAGAGAGAGGGGGGGGGGGGAGGGAGTTGTGAGTTCATTAAACTGAAAGTATCTGATGTTACGTCAGCTTTACAGTCGCTACTACTATCAATTAGATTTAGAAGATGCTTTCCGTTGTCGAAATGTTCTCTTATACTTTGTTATATTTATTATTATTAGGCTGCGAGGGCTCGCAAAGTTTCACAAATTCCAAGCGGGCAAGCATGGAAATTATGGTCTTGGCATATATTATAGCATCTCGAGTTGCCTGATTGAGAATACTCATTGTGAAACCCAACGGACTTCCGTTTCCTATTCGTTATACAAGATATATAGGCAAAGGTCTAACGATGTAGTTGATTTCCAAACTGTGTAAAATACATTGCAGTTTCGTTATTTGAATGCTTTTGCTCCTACTGCATGAGTAAAAATGAATATAAAAATGCACGAGATGGTCTGTTTACATTGCGTTTTTACCTAGTAGAAGATAGTGCGATTATTTTTAGGGTTGGCTAATTAGCCACTGTTGTTGGACGTCAGCTTAAGCCTCACACTATTACTGAGACCCTTAATCTATGCACAGCGCTAGGCATGACAAGCATTTGGACAGAAATTCATATCTCGAATTGACTATTTATCGATTGGTATCACGGATTAACGAATTAAAACTAATACGATCACAACAATTGTACTAAAGATCATGTTACTTATTCGATATCTCGTTTGTACATGTTGTGTAAGTTTTTTGATTTTAACAGCAACAAAATATTGTTCTAAATGGGAATGTGTTTAGTATTGTTTGTATATTAATATTCTTTATATTCTTCTCGTTAATGTATTAATTAAATATTAAGTATGTAGAAGTTCATTTTTCCTATCGCCCGATATCTTTGGTTTTATTTTTTCGGAGAGGGGTTTATTCGTACTGACCCTGTAGACGATGTTCGAAGGGTGTCACAATAGATACAATTATAAATACGTTAGTCTGTAAGAAAGAATATTTTGACACTCTTGTATAAACAAAATAAAAACTGGTGAATATCACGATTACCAAAGTAAATACAGATGGTGTAAAAGTTTTAGAGATCTATAAAGATGATATCTTAAGTAGTAGTAAATATGTTACAGTAGTAAATATATACGGACATTATATACTCACTCAAAGGAAGTGTTTCGTACATTTGGTATGCGACGATTCTCTTTCTACCAAACTAATCAAAATGCGTATGGCCGTTCCCTGAAGTGTTGGAGTCTTCGTGTACTTTTTCGTTCTGCTCATATGTACAATTATTCTTTGGAATCGTGCATTCCAGTGTTGGTTTAACTCTGGTCGGCGGAAATTTGGTTAAGAAGAAGTTAGATCCATAACAAAACAGCTTGCACAGAGTAGGGCATAATATTGACTGGTGGGTCACTGCCCATATTCGATAATTTTGGCCTTCAAATGGATCCAAAATGGCTGCGCATAACATATGACTAAGATTCACTTGTACAGGCTGCAAAGAAAAGAAACATGAAAGGCATTATTAAAAAATAGTGTGATATAATATATGATAAGATTATACTAAACATGTACACTAAAATTATCTTCTATGTTTGACCTTAATATTTTTTTTTTCTGATGCACATCTTCCTATTGTGATGCAATCTTACCTCATTCTACATCATTCAGAATATTTCAATAATAAAAAAAAGATTTTAAGATTTATATATTCCAAAAGACTTATTATTATAGCATTAGGATTATGTTCAAAGAAAAAGTCTGACATACACACCAATGCAACACTTTGAAGAATCCAAAAGTGATATCCTACATTGAGGCCAAAACCAAGGACTGACCAGCTCATATCAGATAGGGGTTCAATGTTATATACTCCTAATGGAGAAGATAGTAAGAAAAAAATCATTTTAAGATTAATTAGGACATCAGATAAGCAAAACTCGCTATTGAGACAGATGCTTATTAATAGATAAACATAAATTATTATTATATTTAAGTATGGATAACTACCTCCGAGCCTTAATAAGTAGTATGGTATTACTAGCATCAAACCATGCTGAATATAATACATTGCTCTATCTGCAAATATCTGAAAAACAAACACTCTTCACATTTAAAATTTACACTCAGCTTAATGCCAGATTATATATTATGACCTACAATTCTAGACTCTGTTTCTGGAAATAGGTATGCCAATACTGGTCCGTTCAGTAAATTCAAGTGTATCCTGAAGACAGCAGTTACTGTCGGACTAGGAGCTGCCGCCAGCAAATACAACTGCATAGTAAAGAGACATTCAAATATAGTAATTTATTAATTTATTTTAACATCATTATCAATAATATACCTAGGAAACCTTTATTATTCATTATAATATATAAACAATTTTTTATCTGACATTACAAAGCACCAAACTATCTTGATGTTTGAACTAAAATAATATTTTAAACTTACCTGTATCGCCGTTGTGATATGGCATGGATTCAATAAATATATAACAGTCCTGCTAGTGAATTTAAAACCAATCTCCATTCCCAGGACTAGAGACATCATGATTAACAAAACTCTTCTACCGACATGGTCCTGATTGACATAGGCCAAGTTCTTTGGCAAAGTCACTCGTTTCAGGCCCCATATGATGCAGGATATGATAAATATAGATATAAATAGCGTCTCTATTAATCTTCGCTTCAGTGTCAGGTAGTTTGCACATTCTGGACCAACATTGCGTGGTATAGAGCTATTTACACCATCATATGTCCACTCGAACATTGTTGTAAACTAATCTTAGCTTTGGAACTGCAACAATATAAGCTATCTTGTAGTTGTAAAACTTGTAGTTTGATATTTTTATCTAATCTATGAGTAACAAATAATTTCTATCTCTCAGAAGCTTTTAATCATAGAACCAAAATTATCAGTAATCCACTAAGGTCATTCAAGTGATATAAAAAAGTATTAGCTCCAAAGAAGTTGATTTTTAAGCAAATGATAAGTTCTTCTCACATATCATGGTAAGAATTACGGAAACATCTGAGTATAAAACAAATAATTAGTATATTAATAATTATGTTAGAGTAAACAAGGTTAGCATAAGATAAGTAACACTCGACTACTGATTATTATCCTTGACACTAACTGTCATTTATACAACGTGTACAATCATACCTAAAATAAAAGGTCCGGAAGATGTTCTTATCCGTGACAAGGTGATCCGTATTTACGTCGTGTTTACGTCGTGGTGACTACACAAAAATCAAAACAATTTATATACAGGAAACGGACCGGAATGTCGGAGAAGACGTGGTCGACGTGGTCAATTCGAAACCCCCCTATTCGAACTAGCTCGAGTCAGAGAGCTGCGGTGAGCGATCGGTAGCAAGATGTTCGCGCAATTGGCACCTCAGAGTTCCCTCATTTCACCGTTAGAGGGTAGCACGTCCAATGAATAAGTCGGAAACTCGCTGATCGGAAAAATTCAAGATTGAAACGAAATATATTAAAATGAGGATTACAGCACGTATATGACCGATTCAGGTTTGTCTTCTCGTTGTATTGAGCTTCGCGTAAAACGATAATTGTTACGTCATCTTGTACTCTTTCATTAACTTGTAATTTGCATTATCCAATATTAAGCATTGATAATGCCCAGCAAATACAATATTACATGTAACGTGCATGTTAGTTGTAATTTCCTACTCAACAATATAACACAGCATATAACACGTGTTATATAACAACAATATAACAATATAATATAGCGTATAACACGTGTTATATAGCAGTTATATTGTTGAGTAGGAAATTACAATTAACATGCACGTTACATGTAATATTGTGTTTGCTGGGTGGTGAGTAATAGTTGTCACACGATGGCTTTAGCATGTATCAATTGTCTACACATAGTGCATAATTAGTTACCTCCGAAAGTGCAGCGCAACAGATAGATTTATTGTTAGTAATTATATAATTATTTGTTACCTTTAGTAACACTGCGTTATACTTTCTGTATCTGAGATAAAATAAACTTGTATGTGAAATATAACGAGAAAAAGAGTTAAAGGAAAAAATCGTAAGAAAGTGCAGAAAGTGTAACTGAAAAAGAACAGCCCTGTGCGCGCATCATGTAACGTTTGAAGTTGTCGATCTTTCTTTTTCTGAAGATTAGTTTTGCGTAACGGACGCGTTCTTTGGTAAGTCTGCTTTTCGTGTGTTTTACTTGTTGATTTCGCCTATATTTTGGATATAAATGATATCGATCGCGAAATTAATGACTGTACTATCAGAAAATCGTTGTATTTCATGTCGTTTGTGCCGAACTAGCTCGTATCGTCATGAAATTTAAGAAAGGGTTAGATCGATCAACTTTCGGTGTACCGAATCAAGATGGCCTAGTATGATTGTTGCAGCGTAATAAATGAGATACGCGATGATGACTAATTCTTTAAGTTATGATGTTCGCGATTGAAAAAATATTATTTTATCGTGTATTACGTGTATTACGCAAATTTCTTGAATGCTGATAAAAAAAGATGTTGATTGTACGTTGAGCAATAATGATACATAATAAAAATGGCATATGTATTTGCCGAATCGGAAATGTCGGAATAACTTTTAATTAGATAGACAATGCATATCACTATTAGTTAAGGATAAATATTTTTAAATCGTTTAATGGGATCTTGGTACTCCGCCTAGTTTGCAATTTTATTCTCTCCTATTTTGCAACTATTATTTAATCATGCATAGTCTTGCAATAGATTGTCATGTAAGATATATGCCTAAGCGTTACGTGAAATATTAAAGACTCTTTTATGAGGGGAAGAAAAACCAAGTTCATAAATATTAAATAGCTATACATGTAATAATAATGACACTATTATACTGATAGAGGGCCATTTTGCACTAGAAATAAAATTAACTAAATTATCAAAAATAGGAGAATGGAAATATAAGAAAAAAATATGAAAAAAATTTAAAAGTAAATATACAAATATCTAATTATATTTTGTCCTTCTTATAGCGAATACTACAAGGAATTGACAATCTGCAGATTGACTGTTGCAAGAATTATCAACTTGATTAAAAGAAGTAGCGAAGGGAAAATGAAAAGACGGAAAATGGAAAAACGGAAATGAAGAAAGGAAACAGTGGCAAGTTTTTAAAAATTAATATTCTATATAAAACAATCTAAACGAAGTATACGATTTTCGAAACGATTCCGTACGTGTTAAACGCAAAATAATATTATTAATAAATCAAATTGTATTTTACATAGATGTTACTTATGAGAAAAATGTTCGTGAAAAGTCATAAATACAAATTAATAAAAAAAACAGGTATAATTAAAGTGAAATAATGATTTATGTACTGGTTTTGAAAGGGTTGAAAAATTTATGAGGATATAATTAAAATGAACAAATTAGATTAAAGTATTTATACATAAAAAATAATATCTTTAATTAATAACAACATCAACATAGAATTTGAATATTATATCATTATAGATATATGACATTAGACTTTTTAAAATTAAATTAAAATTAAATTAAAATTAAAATTAAACTAGAACGGTTGCAAAAAAATCGTACGTTTTGTTTAGATAAATTTTAAGCACCGCCTTGAAATAATCATGAAAATGCACTTTTTTAAATTTGCATTGTCCTTCATCAATAAGGACATGTATCATATATGAGCTGAACACTTGTTTAATATTTTTCGCATGCTGCTTTTACAATATTTATTGTTATATGTTTGCTTTATTATATATTGTTATATATCTGTTATATTTTACAATATTTGAGCTTTTAAATACTCGTATTCATATGCAATTTTTTGCACAAGTTGAGTAAATATCGTGAGTTGTTAAACCGCTATAATTTTGAGTGAGATTCAGCAAAATATTTTTACAAATACCGTTAATCCAGCTGCTTCATTCTCATGAAGAAAACGTACTTCAATGTACGCACTTCATAATGGCGACGAACCCATTGAATTTATACCGACACGCCTTCGGTTCTTATTCTTGGAAATTTCATAACTTCAGCATCTAGCCTTATAAAGTCTCTTGCGTTATCTCGTGAAACAATATTCTTGAATTATGAATACAATTGCAGAGAAGAAACTGCTTAAGCAATTAACTACCAAGAACAAATTGGCTACCAATAGACTTTATAACAACATCCGTTATTTAACGTACGTGGCGCGTCTCCCGACAATATTTTTTACATTATTCTTCTTACTATGGATGATTCTCTTAATATTATTAATAAAAACCTCACCAAATTTTATTAATAATAACGAGAGGAGTTAAATTCAGGTAGAAACAAATACCGTTATACAAAATCAACTTAATCCAAATCAAATATCAGATGATAAACGAAATGTGAAATTGATAATATGGATCTTCATACTGTTTCTTTCGCGTTCATCTTTTTCATCCTCGACTTGGCGACTAACTCATTCTCGCACGACTCTCTCCTCCTAACGTTGGACTTCTCAATATGAAAAGCGCAAAATCGAGAAGAATGGCACTCGTATCTTGAATTTTTCTGCGAAACCTCAAAGTACCCGTCGGGGGCGAATCTGAAGAGGAGAAAAACGGATCAATAGAGGGTACGCAACAACGAGCGTCGCCGACGTGAGTGAGTCAGATTTCCAGGGAGTCCTGGTCAGGTTGCGTACAAATACACAAGTGTGAGTGCTCGGGCGCACACGCACGCACGCACGCACGCACACTCACCCACTACATACACACACGTGTGTATACGTGCACATGCTCATACACGTAATAAAAAGACACGTACTCTTGCAGAGTACGGTAGCGCAAAGGCGGAGCGCACGGACGGCATCAGCGTTGCGGGATGCGCGTCGCAAGCGGGCGAACGTGTCATGTGTGCGCACCGCAAAGTGAGTAGCTTGGCACTTGCAGTTGCAGGCTTTAGGCTTGAATAAGGGGAGGAGCCTCGTGCATTGCCTCGCGCAATTATCCCCATCCTCCTGTTTTGCGGCTTCCATTCCTGCCTGCTCCGCGCGCTCGTCGTCGTCGTCGTCGTCGTCGTTTCCCCCCGCGTGCCCCGGTCACTATCGTAATATACCCGACGAGCCCGAGCACGACGCCATCTTGGTCGCGTGCATTCGTTCGTTTTCTCGGCTGTTTTTTAAGGCCTTTTCCACCGAACCCGCACTTTCAGCCCGTCGGAGGTCGACGGGGTCGTCCGGATCCGTCGCTACCGACGATCCGCGTTCAACATCCTTCTCGGGAGAGAACATCGAAGGGGTGTTGCTTAAGATAACCGCGCTTCCGCTGTTGTGTAGCTCCAGTTTTCAGTAGTTCTCGGTAAGACTTTGTGAAGCGAGACGATCTTTGGCGAGTTCTTAGTCCATCTGGTACCGCGGATTGGCACAGGTCTATCTGGACATGTATGTCATGCGAAACCCTCGTCATGTAGCCATACGTATTTTAGCGGAAGTCGAGTCGCAATGTTCTCGCAGAGGAATTTCGCGAACACCGATTATCTGGTCTTGCCTTCGGGATTTGTCAGGATCTGTGGCTCAGGTTCGCTTCAAATTCGTACTTAATATTCTTACAACATAATACATCGAGGAAATGTTACTTGAGGAAGTTCCAGATCCTAATTATTGTAGAATGATCCTAAATTATGTTAAGCGGGGGAGCGCTTGTGAGACCTCCGGAAACAACCACGAGTAAATTCGAGGAACGTAAAATACCTCAAATCGAGAAATACAAATGGATTTCGTGCAGAGAATGAGTTTACAGTCAATTGTTGCTATTTTACAAACTTTGTGATGCACCTGGTGCACGATTAGCGGCTTGAATATTTATTTCACCATATCAATACACGACGCGTTGCCTTTCCGGCTACAGTGTATTGTCGTTCGACACGCTTTATCACTGCGTCGTTCACACCCACTTTCCACAAACACAGCTCTTACGTCGCATATTTTTAAAGGATGACTCGTTGACGCATGAAACGCAAATGAACGCATTTGTAGCGGTATCACCTGGCGCGAATATCGTATCAATGCGAGAGATGCGCCGAAGAGATAAAAACCTCGGGTTTTTGTGAGCAAACATGCGACGAAACGAAATATTGTAATTTCTCCGGTAATTATTGCTATTTATTGCTTCCGCGATGGATTATCGTCCGCGTTATCGTCCAATCGATGGCTCGTTACAGCACCGAATCGATAATCCGGTGGATGCGAAGATTAACAGGCCGGCAAGATTTATCGTTACGACACTGTCGTTTAGTGTTACTTACTATACGCGCGCACACACACACACACACAGAGCAAAAGAGAGAAAGAGAAACCCGGTAATAAAGCCCGGGCGGGATATTAACTTAAAAGCGTGTT